TGTTTTCCTTTTAATTTAGGAAAGAAAGTGGAGTAAGTAAAAACTGAACTGTACCTGAATACAATTACTTACAATATGCATTTTTGGTACATGTATTCAGTTACTTCCCACCACTGAGACACCGATGGAGCCATGTAATTGAATACTGAACAGATGTTAATGCAGGGTAATCTAATCTGTAACTATATTTTCAAATGATTCTTCCTGTTATTTGTTGTGGTATATCTAGCTCCAACGTTAAGGTACAATACCAAGACCACATCACTGTTCCTCCCCTTTAGCACAACCTCTCAGCAGGGCCAGCTGTCCAGCCTCTCTCACAGGAACCTCAGGGACGCCATATATAAACTAGTAGAAGTATAGGTAAAATGGAATAAGCTTGTTTTGAATGTTTTTAGATTTTTTTCCATATAAGAATATTTGTCATATATTTTCCATCAGATTCTTTCTCACATTCACAAGTCAGTTTTATAAGTATGAATTTACTCTTCCCTGGTAATGCTAAAAATAAGAGCAGGTGATAGGGATGATGATTTTATCTGACAAAAACAGCTCTTTAGGCAAAACAAAATCAGCAGATATGCATGTGATACTCGACTATGAGACCAGCTACTCCTTATGGAAATATAAATAAATATATTCTAAACAATAATATTAACATAACATAACATTTTCAATTAAACAATTTCTCAGAGCAGATTAATTAATTTACATATTCTTCTAGTTTAAGTCATGATGTCAGGTTTGTAGATGCGGGATGGAAAAGGAGAACATGGATCTAGTCTACAGTCATTCTATTCATTCATTTATGTTTGCGGATAGAGAGTCAGCAAAAAATGTGGCGTTGTGGACATCGCATTGCTTTTACTGCATTACATTTTCAAACACTAAGCAAAAGAACCTACAACTGCAATAAATTCAGACACATTCCCTGTCGTATCTTGTGCTCTGTTCCACCTGACTGACCTTAACTGGAGTCAGTGCTGCAGTGTTGTACAGTCCAAACCACCATCCAACATTATCCACCTCCTGGGGACTCTGTGCATGGAGACGATGTTTTCAGGAGATGAATGGAGCAGTCCCTATGAAACTGAAAGTGCATGACTGCTTTTCATGTTTTTCTAATTGTTACTTAGCATGTGGTAAATATTATTATAGTTTTAGTGGCAGTTTATGGAAAAAAGTTGAAAAGAAGCACAAAAAATTATAAAAATATAGGAAGTAGATGTGAGTTGGAAACAGAATAACTCTATCCTCCAATTTCATCCTTCAATTTCATAACAATTTACACAAAAGGAAGGCATTTTTCTTGACAGTTTAAAGATTCATACAACAAAATAAAAGTTCTCATTTGGTTTTTATCTAATCTTAACTCTTGGGACATTTTCGCCCTTGTTAACATTGTGGTTCATAGGTAACAGTTTTAAAATTACATCTGTGCATGTCGTAACTGCTGCTGTCGTAACCAGACAGTAAAATGATAAACTTCACCAAAATTTCAAAACTAGAAAAAAACTATGTATGATTTTTTTTTTGTAAAACCTTGGATATAATTAGTTTAAGTATATTTTTAGGGAAATTAGTACTATAACCTGTCACATGCACTGTCACTGTAAAGGCGCATTGTGTAACTTTTCTAGTGGAGAATCTGTCACACAGGTATGACATTAAACAGCTCTACATTACATTTATTAAATTACAAGTGGTTTTATAGCTCAAAAATACCTAAAAAAAAAAAAAACAGGCATTATGAGAGTGAGCGGGGTTGCCTCTCCACAGATCTGACCTGTAACTTGGTCTGGTTTGGCCTCCATGTCGACAGAAAGATTTAATACCAAACTGTGAAATACTCCAGACTAAGCAATAACATCTCCATGGAGAAACGCAGACGAACCCTCCACCAAAAAAGTTACACAATGCACCTTTAAGTCCTATTGCATCCCCTTCTTTAGAGATTTGAAGACTACACCTATATTTTATACATTACAGTTATCCTTATAAATGTTTTGTGTTGAGAGTACCAAGCACAGTTCGATCCTGAGACACTGTGTTATTGTTGCTGGGTCATATGTGGATGAATAGCAGCTATGTCACAGTACAGTTGGATGTTTGGTGTGGTGCTCTCACAGTCTGCCTCTGTCTGTGTGTTGTGGGGTCATGTGGTTATACTTTGCGCCTTTGGCCTTGGACATTGTTGTATAAGCTTCCCTTGGATTGGTGCGTCTTGGCCCCAGTGCAGCAAGTGAAAGTGGACTTGGTACTGTTATGTAATTGCCTCTGTTGTGTACCATTGTGGGTATGCGCGAAACAGCCACCAGTGTTTGTATAATAGGCCTAAATATTTACTCAACACAATATAATACAGTAGATGGGGTACATGTTTATAGGCAGAGGTATGCCACCTGCTTGTCTCCATGGAGATGTTAATGCTTTGTCTTGAAAGTTCCACAGTATGGTATTTAAAGGTCCTATACTGTACAAAACTAACAATTGTGAGATTTAAGCCATGTTATAATGTTGTTACCTCATCAAAAACATACCTGGACTTGTGTTTTGTTTTATTCGCACATTGCAGTAAATCCTGGATTATTAGGATGTCTGCATCCCTAAAGATCAAAATGCTCTGTTCCAATTTGTGATGTCATGAAGAGGTGGTTTTCAAGCTTGCAGCTCCTTTTACCTTTTTTCATTAGAGATTGGCAATTCCAGTGCTGAAATAATCCAAATGATTCTAGTGAAGGTGTATAAAGTTTAAAAACACACCACTTCCTGTATTACCCCATGACATCACAAGGTGGACCAGGATGTTTTCTGTTTGAGAGAAGAAAACAGCCTGTGTGAATGAAGCAAAACACAACTCCAGGTATGTTTTTGATGAGGAAACAACATTATAACATGGATCAGAAGATGGCATAATATCAGCTCTATCATTTCTTTAATATCTCCATGGAGACAATCTAATGACACCGCCAGGTCAAGTCTGTGGAGAAGTACCCCCGCTCATAGAGAGAATGCATGTTTTTCAAGATAGTTTTGAACAATATAAATATGTGCACTTAAAATGTGTGTCATATGTGGAATATTCCAGACAAAGCATCCTCTCCGAGCAGGTAGCAGACCCCCACTCGTCCTCCCACATCAGAAAGGTTTCATAGTATGCCTTTAAATAAGTAAGGACATTTAAGTTCTATTCATTTTATTCATAAATTCAATTACATGTTCGACATGCTGTAAATGCCACTTGAAGTGATTAACTGTAATATTAATGTAATCACCCATGCTAAAACTTGCCATTAGTAATCTGTCATTGGCTGTTTACAGTTTTCTCTCCGAGTACTGACCATCACTATAAAACTGTATGTTTAGAGATATTCTTCTAAAAATTACAAACAAATGGTAAATCTCAAACAGGTGGATGCATGGGTCCTAAAACACTATTAATGTTGTTTCCTCATCATAAACATGCCTGGACTTGTGTTTTGTTTCATGAACACATTTAACACACAAACCCTGCACATTTATGCTTCAAGAGTTCTTCTCTCAAACAGAAAACACTGTGTTCCACCTTGTGATGTCATGTGGAAATATAGAAAATGCTCCACTGTGTTTTTAAACTCTATTCACTCTCATTAGAATCATTTGGATAATTCAGCCCTGGAATTTCCAATCTCTACTAAAGAAACGGTAAAAGGTAACTGTTAACTTGAAAACTGCTGCTGAAACAGAGCATTTTGAGCATTTTGGAGATGTAGACAGACAAATAATACAAGATTACTCAAAGATGATGTGATGTGAAAGAAACAAAACACAACTCCAGGTAATTTTGTGATGCCGTAACAACATTATAACACGGCTTAAAACTCACAAGAGTCAGTTTTGCAAAATATAGGACTTTTAATGAGCTAGCATCAAAGTTATCAGAATATATTTTGATGTCCTACTGTTTATTTCATTTGTAAGTGGTTTGGGGTTTGTTGTGATTCAGTCGTAGGCACAGGGGAAGGTATGCTGTTTGTAGACTGCTTATGTTTGTGAAGAGTAATTGGTCCATTTTTGTTGACAAATTAGCTATATATCTGAGAAATGTGCAAAGCTATGAAATGTGTTGTTTCATAAAAAAGGTAATTTACAAGAAGAAATGGCCAAACAGCAGTTATTTACAATCCTTTGGTGCCTAAAATAAAAACGTAATAGTCAATGGGATGATTTATGGGGTGGGAGAAACTGATTGGAGCATTGTAGCATCATTCATCTGAGCATGACCTTCAGAACTGCAGAACTGCTGAATGTCTCATGGTGCGGGCAGAGCTCCACCCCCTTGTTATCGCTTCTGTACAATTCTGTTCTCTGGTAAAATGGCACAGAACACAAATATATGAACACTGATACTGAGTTCTTAATATTCATGCTGCTTTAAATAAACAATTAAATTAATTCCACCTTGAGAATGTTCAAAGCAGGACTGTACGTGTTAGTGCTGGGATGGGAGACTGCAGGGAAAACCAGATGCTTCAGTGGGGAGGCAGTGCTTCTAGTAGTGCATGCTGTTGTTGTGTCCTTAGGCAAGACACTACCCACATTGCCTAGTATGAAAGTGGTGTGTGCAAGTGCTGGTGATGGTCAGAGGAGCAGATGGGACAGATTAGCTTCACTTCAGCCAGTCTGCTCCAGGGCAGCTGTGGTTACAGATGTATCTTACCACTACAGAGTGTGAAGTGAAGGAATAATGCAATTGAAGGCACTTTGCGTGTCTTGAAATGCACTGTATAAATCCAATTAGAGGTCAGCAATATTGACAGAAATTAATATCCCGGGTATTTATTTTATTCTTGAATGGCTTATTTCACAGCCTTTTTAAAAAAATTTCTAGAGATAAAACACTGAATATTCAAATTTTGCATCCCCAAAACAACAACTGCAATACATATTTCCACCTCCCACCTCTAAATCCAGTGCATAATTATGATCATTATTAACTGCAATACTTTATGCTTGTACAGAACTGAATTCAAGGCTTACAAAGATGTCAAACCAGCAAAGATGATCCGGGCCAAGTCCCAGTACCTCCCTCCAGACGAGAAGACGAGCCTGGAGACGAGCTACAGCGCCACGTTCAAAGCCACACCCCTCCAGCCCGCTGACAACAAGGCCCAGGAGAGGAGGAGAATACGCAGTTTGTACAGCGAGCCTTATATAGACCACACTAAACAGGTAAGACCCCCTCGCCAAGCTCACATCACCTCACCTGTACAATGGTGTTTTATAGACCCTTTAAAAGTTTGTAAATAAATACATTCTAAATTATGGAATGGAGACAGATGGAGGTAAAAGTAAAGTGGAAAGCAATGCAATTTCAACTGAGAAATTGGGATTAACCAGAGGAAATCATATAGTAAAAAAGTGGTTTTGGTTAGCACTCAAGCCTCACAGCAAGAAGGTTCTGGGTTTGACTCCCGGACCACCAGGGAATTTCTGTGTGGCGTTTGCACCATAGGTAACATTCACCAGCTAAGACAGTCCTGACCAAGCCTGATTCATCAGCTAGTTTCACTTCATGGAAACCGGCTGGCCTCGCAGCATTAGGATTCGTTCACTCGACGGTAGGCGGGTATTTTTTTATTTAACCAATCGCTGCTATTTGGTTGTGAAGTATGTAATGCGCCGCTAACGGGGCTAACTGGTATATTAAGCTTTTTCCAAATCCCATAGGAAGAAGGGCAATAACGTCTTTCCCCTTGATAAAATTCACCAAACATTCTCTTTGTTCCGGCTTTAAATCCTCGATCTTGGGAATCGTTGCCAACACAGAATGTATGACTCTTCGCTGATTGGCTGGTGCCCGGACTTGCACTTCTGGGGTTCTTACAAACTGTCTAGTGTATTCCGATTCCTGACCTCGTCGCTGGAGAGAAATTAAATTGAGTGGAGGCACTAGGTGGCGCCAGCCTGGCTTGTCCTGACCACGCTTGGTTCAAGATCTCAAGATGGGTCCCCTGACAGGTTGCTCAAAGGATGGGTCAAACACAGAAGACAGATTTTCCTACGTGGACAATAACCTTGACTTGAAAAATGCGCTATGTAACTTTTTGGCTGGAGGTCCATCACCTGTTTGTTTCTATGGATATGTCATTGCTCTGCCTGGAATGTTTCATAGTATGACATTAAACCTTTTTATCTTCATGGAGACCAAACCAAACCAAGTTACAGGTTAGATCAGTGAAGCAGCAACTTCTCATTCTCAATCACAATCAGAATGTCGGTTTTTCTAAGTATTTTGGAGCAATAAAACCACCTGTAATTGAATAAATGTAAGGTAGAGCTGTTTAATGCCATACTGTGGAGCATTCCAAGCAGAGTAATTTCATATCCATAGAAACAAGAAGGTGACGGACCCCAACCAAAAAGTTGTATGGTGCACCTTTAACCTTTAAAACCTGTTTTTCATCCTCTGTGATGGACGAGCCTGGACATTCAAAACTGTTGCTTATCTTTATTATAAAGTAAATCCATCTATTTCAGTTTACCTCCTGTTATCTCCATTCTGTAATTTTGAACACTCTGCCAATTTAACATTTTAAAGTGTCTATAATCACTTTCACTTAACACACAGCCCACAATCTCACCCACACTATCCACCGTTCTTAGTTCGACAGGTATAGCTCTCCTCGCTCCAAACCCAAAAAGTCTGGAGTCACAGCCGCCGCGGGCCAGAGCAAACCGGTGAAGAAGCCCAAAGATAAACAGAGCGCTGCAGGGAGGGGCACCAAGAAGACTGCCTCAGAGAACAAGCCAGACCGGCCAGCAGGGGGCGACAAGGAGAAAAGTAAAGAGATCAACAACAAACTGGCTGAGGCAAAAGAGTAAAATCATTTAGCACTACTTTTTTATTTATCAATTTGAGGGAAACGCAATAACAGAGGCTGCAAAATGATCTTTTCTTTCTGTTCTTTCCTCTGTAACTTTTGTATCAGGGCTGCACGATATTGACAAAGATTATGGCCATTATAAAGCTTTTAATAAACTTGCAGAAGTACATTCCTTTAAAATAGGCAAAAAATACTCAACAAAACTGTAATGCGATATCAGCAATATATGTTTTGACACGATAATTTCCATTATATTGAAACAAAAATGTGCATACCTTAATTAACTAATGAGGCTTTGTCTTATTTACAACTTAGTAGACAAAACCAAGATTAAATCAAAGAAAAGATAATTTACCTTTTTAACATTTTCATTTGAATAACTATACTATTTCTGTCAGCTGGAGAATCTTGGTCATATTGCAATATATTTAGTTTGTTGCAACGCTGATTATTGTATTAGCCAATATTTCAATCCACAATTTTTGTACACAGCAAAAAGAAGAGTGTTAAAATTGACTCTCACAGAATACATTTTTATGTTTTCTCAGGGTTTATATGAGTCCAATCTGTTCTAGAGTTAATTTAACATTTTTTGAAAGGTTATTCAAGTAACACTGGACCAAAGTTCCTGTTTTACCCTGAAATCAAGAATTATATTAATGTTTTGAGAGCAAACAGATAACACTTTGTAGATTTATCCTGATTTAACTGAACATCACACAGTTTTATTTTTACACTTTGAATCAGTTTTGTACATAAATTCATCTTAAATTAACTAAAACAAACTGGTCTTCTGGTGGTTGGTGGGAGCTGCCAAATTAACACTAAGGGATGTTAAATGAACACTAGGGGTAGTTGAATTTACTTCAGTCATTTCAACTCTGGCAAATAACCCCAACTCGAACTCACATTTTACTTTCAAATAGTTTAAATAACACTTTTTGAGTTAAAAACAACCCTGAAATATTTTACCCTGAAATTTTAATACTCCAGTTTTTGCTGTGTATCGCACGATTTATAAATAAGACTGTGCATAATAACAATGTAAGGCAAAATAATAAACTAAATACATAAATACAGAACAATAAAAACAGCAGACGGTACTGCAATATCAATACTTATATCGTGCAGTCCAATCGTGTATCCACTCATCTTCTGTCTACTCTCTCTACCTCTCGGCTAACTTTGTATGTTACAAAGATTTTGGGGTTTTAGACATGACATTTGCCATTGTAACGAGTGGGCGCGAGCGTCTCTGTTCTCCCACCCGCCTCCACCACGCAGGCTTCCATCTTGTGGTTGCCACGGTTACGGGCTGCCTGGCTAACCAATAGATGTCTCTTCTAGATGCATGTGCCCATTGACAAGCAATTTGGCTTTGATCAACTGTGCAGATTGCTTCGTTTGGGTTTTATCAAGGATTTTAGTATTGGCATATAGAAAAGGATTATTGTCACAAAGACGACATCAAAATTTGAAAATCTTTGATAAATGTCCTGCTTGGGTATCCATAAATGCTTGTATCTGCTCTGTATGCTTTTTTGCAACTGTACTCATAAGTCTGTGTGGAATTTCTTAGCCAATCACAAAGCTTTGTTCACTGTGAAAATGTCTCATCTATTATTGCACTTTTTTGTCATGTACAGTTTTAGTTTGAAGAATTTTCTGGATACCTTTTTGTCCCAGTCACCATGTAAAACAAGTGGTGTTTCGGTCCATGTGAGACCATTTTGAAACACTTAATCTGTTGCCAAGAAACCATCTGGGCCATTCTGAAGTTAAAACATTAAAATAATTATTTGCATATATGTGGTGCTTGTACTGGATAAATCGTCTATGTAACTTTTCTAGTGGATGTTCCAGCACCTGAAATATTTGATGCTTTTCCTAGAATGCTCCACAGTATGCTGTTAAACCTGCCTGTCTGCCACATTTTTCCAAGGGATTTCTTAGAAGTAAAAGACTTGTAATTGAATGAATACATGCAGGACAGATACGTTTAATGCCATACTTTACTCTTTCCAAGCCAAGCAATAACATCCATATTCAAGCAGGTGTTGGACCCTCAGCCAGAAAGGTTACAGAGTGCATCATTAATATTTTAGTTTGGAGAATCAAGATCAAGAAGAAACTGTGTAGCAGTGCAGTTACTTCTAAATAACAATCCCTCAAAACAGACTGCTATATTTAGATTTTCATTTTGGTCAAAGCCCCTTCCTAAAACACAGCTCGTCACAGATAAAAGTGACAACACTGCCATAGACATAATGAATAGATATGTACTATAAAGTGTATGTATAAATAGCTATTTTTCACAAGACACTTAAGAATAAGCTAAAACTATGTAATCTTCTAACGTTAATATGCAATGCTCTGTTGCAGCTAATGACCATTCTGTTTGTTTATATTAAGTTGGTTAGTACATGATTTAAGTAAGTATGTTTGTAGACCGTTACTGTTATAAGTGAAAAGACTGTAATCACTAAGTTATTCCTAATTACATAAAAAATACATTTTTATTACTGAACTATGTATCAGAAAAGATTACTAAGCCAAATTTTTGGTTACATCTCATTCTGTATATAATTCAATGTGGGCATACTATTTTCATGGGTCATTTCTCATTCAAATTAAAATTCAGAGGTCATCTTTTTTTCTATAATTTTAAAAGTGCTATGTTTTTGGAGTTTGTTTATAATCCATCCATAGTTGTCACGAGTTCTCATGAGTGTGCACCATGCATACCTGACAGTGTATATGAGCTCTGCCCTCCATGTCCACTGGGTGACTGCGTCCTCTGTTGTCTGAATCAGTGGTTCCTCCTCCATGTTGTAGTCGCTGAGCACATGGTCCATCTCTTGTATTTTGCAGCCTTTTGTTGGGGAACAGTAAATGTAAACTTAACTTAAAGTGCATATGACAGGTTTTCATGTTTTTGTAGTTATTAATGGGTTTGGTGATGTAGTAACTGTTGTAAATATGTATTGTAGTTTTACATCAGTTAAGTGACGTGTGGGGAAAAAAGTTGAGAAGAAATGTACAAAAATACAGGAAGTAGTGGTGAGTTTTAAACCGAGATACCTCTACCAACATTATCAATACAGAAAATTCTATCCAGGGGACAATTTACACGCAATGACAACATTTTTCTGACAGTTTAAATGTTAAATTTACAAAATAAAAGTGTTGTTATTTATTTGTATTAGTCTAATCATACATATTGTGTAATTTAGACAAGTTTTGGCCCTTGTTTACAGTATGGTTGCTAGATAAATTTTATGGAGCTACCTTTACATATGTTATATTTGCTGCCCATGTCCAACCAGAAAGTAAAATTATACTCTTCACCAAAATAAAAAAGAAAATAGAAAAAATAGGCAAACATTTGAGTAAATCTTAACTATAATTATATTAACTGTTTTATTAAAATGAGTGGTCTAACCTGTCATATGCACTTTAACTTAGCCCATTATTAAACTGGTGCTATTTCTGTGACAATAAGGATAGAAGGTTTGGCTTAGTAAGTTAATGTAATGGGCACTGAATATATAATAATTGACTGTGACGTATTTGTGTTGCTATCTGCTTGCTCATATTTAAAGAAACAGATAAATAAATGCAAGAAGCAGAAAAGATATATTGTCTTGATTTATTATTATTTTTAATTGTTTTGTTGAGAGTAAAGGAGGGTTAGTGGTTGCAGGTATCTGTCAGTGTTTTCTGTCAATCTGTTTTTAAATAGACAAAAACAATTACTTCAATCCACATGGAAGAGAATTGTGCTCTCACGACTTTCTACTCATTAAAGCCTGCGCCGCCTTCTGCCATGAGTTCTGACATCCAGGTCATACATGTTGCTTGTTTGGATCATTTTATAATAGAGCTGGGCACCAAAAAAAATTAAATAAAAATTGCAAATGAACACAAAAAGTCACAAATCTTGAAAGTCTGAGGCCTGTCACAGTAATTACTATATCAATTTGTCGTTCAATATATGAAAGATGGAACAATATATTTTGGGACTCAATATTTTATATTTATCATACTCATATTTTGTTGCAATAGTAGGGAGGATTCTATTTTTATGTAATACAGATACAGATACAAAATTTGAGCTGTAGAGGGATGAAAAAGTAACTTTCAGGACTAATTATTGGTTCATTCTGTTATTTATTTGTTGTAGCTCATACAATTTAATGATGCTGTATTTAAAAAAATGGTTTATTGGGATTATCCTGCTTTATTTTTATTATATCAGTAGCAAATGTAGTTTCAATATTATCATTCAACATGATATCCCTCTCTAGTAATATATCGTGCTTCAAAACTTGTTATTGTTATAGGCCTATTTTTAGTGACAGAGGATCACCTGTAGACTTCTCAATAAAAAATATCACTGACAATTTGAAATGACTGATCTCGATTCAAATTCGATAAACTACCCTGCCCAACTATCCAATATATTGATTTAAGTTCACTTTAAAGTCCTTCACTGGCCACATGTATGGAAAATGGATGTGTAGACACTGATTTCAGAACAAGATGTCATGTGCTTCTTATTCTCATTTACGTATATGCAACCGTGCATTGCTTCTTTATGTACAAGCATTCACTTTCTAATGCTGTGATCATTTGTTCCTCTCACTCAACTACAATGCATTATAACAGTCGTGGTATATTATTATAAATGTTTAAAGTTTGATGTTTGCTAATGAGTGGCCTTCTGATTCATTTGAAGGGTTGTGCTAAAACAGTACCACTACATACAACTCTGCCAGCCAATCCGAGATATAGGCTGGGTGCAGACTCTTAAACAACACCTGTGGGGCTGTGCTCTTCCTGATCCCAGGTAACAGCAAAAAACTGAGAGCTACAAACGCCAGTCATATTCATACATGTTGTGCTTTCATTTTGGGTTAATTGTTTGTATTAGAGTAATAAGTTTTTATTTGAAAGCACCATATTCTCTAGTCTATACTCATCAGGTGGTACTTCCTTGTATTTCTCTTCCATATGGACACTCTAGGCTGCCTGAAGCCACAACCAATACATAAAGGCTCTTTAAGACAAACGTTCTTAAAGAGACAGTTTTTGTTCAGTCATCCACACTTTTGCACAACTGCATGATTATAAAATACAGTAAGAGTGAAGGTCAAAAAAGGCTTTTGAATGTAAATTCTGCATTTCCATTTTGTCATATTATTTAAAGGTCCTATATTACGCAAAATTGACTCTTGTGAGCTTTTATGTTACAATGTTGTTACCTCATCAAAACATACCTAGAGTTGTTTTTTGTTTCATTCACACATGTTTAAGTAACCCTTTATTATTAGTCTGTATACATCTCCAAAGAGTGAAATGCTCTGTTCCACCTTGTGATGTCTTCAATTTCACTTACAAGCTTTTGTTTAGTAGAGATTGGCAATACCACAGTTGTAATTATTCTAATGAAGGTGAATGGACCAATGAGGTTTATTTGGTCTTCCGATATTTTATGTTATTAGGTTCTTTTTTCAGACCAAGAGTTTGTTTTCTTTTTTCATATCACAGCAACATCACGTGAGCACTCTGAGGAAGACCGCTTGTGAGCAGTCAAAACTGTCAGGTATGAAAACAAACTCTTGGTCTAAAAAAAGAATCTAATAACACAGAAGGCGTATGGAGTTTAAAATCACAGTGGAGCACTTCTTGTATTACCACGTGTATTGCAAGGTGGAGTGTTTTCTGTTTAAGCGAAGAACTCAGCCTAAAAATTCAGGGTTTGTGTGTTAAACATGTGTGAATGAAGCAAAACACAGCCCCAGGTATGTTTTTTCGAGATGAGGAAACAACATTATAACATAGATGAGAAAATAGCGTAATATCGGCCCTTTAATATAGAAGGAACCAGGGATGCAACAATACAGTTTTCTCACGATTTGATACGTACCGATACATTTGTCATGATATTTCAATACATTTTAGGCCTCAGAAGAACTAAACTCTATGATTCTTTATAGTGATTATCAATTAAATTAAATTTGTCTGTTTGGATGCAGCAGAGTGAGGCCTTTATGAAGCTTTTTTTTTTTTTTTTTTTTTGCATATCTGGGAAAATATGGCATGTGCATATTGAGTCACTCTTGTACATTATATCGAGTATTGTTGCATCCCTAGAAGGAACTATACCCTGTGTTTATTTGTATCACTTTTGGCATGCTTACAGTGTTTTCTGTTTGAACTGCAACATTTGTATAAGATAGATTCAGTAAATACTGTTTTTCATGGAAGGTAAGTATCAAATTTGCTCCTGAGAATTTAAATATGGCTGTTTTGTGCAAGTCTTTTTGAACACCCCGTGACCCTCATTTCACTAATGGACTGTCAATCTGCACAGTCACAGTGAGTAAATATTGACCAGTGGGCTTAACTCAATCAATAACTTACATTGATCTAACACAAACATCTGCTGTAACTGTATATTTATGTTATTTTCCTTTTCTAACCACTGTATATTTGTCTGTTGTAAAAAGAATGAGTGGTCACAGGGTGCTCCGCTTACCAGTCCAATGATTGAGTTTTGGCCTGGGAGAACGTCCCTCATCACATCTCTCTCTCTTTCTGTGTCTCTTCTTCTCTTCTTCCGCTGTCTTAACGATGTGCTGCCCCCTAGAGATGTTAAGGAAGATGTTCTCGGATCCGGTGATCGTCATTCCCCGAGTTCTGCTGGAGGAGAACCACACCAACCACTGCTGGACCGATCGGAGCCTCGGAGGAGCAGTGTACGCTTCGCCCTAGATGTCAAACAGACAGACTAGTCACTATAGCACAGAGACTACTGCTCTCAGTACAAGATTTGGTAACACTTTATAATAACTACACTTTTAATAGCCTTAATATAGCATGAAACAGATTTAATTCATAATAAACAAATAGCATATTAAGTGCTTATTAAAGATTCAGATTTTGTAGCTACATTAAAGCCCTTGGTAAGGTGAACTGTGTAAAATTTCTAGTGAAGGGTCCGCCAACTGCTTCTCTCCATTGAGCTGTTACTGCTCTTTGCCTGGAATATTCCACAGTAAAGCATTAAACTCATCTATCTCCATGCCGATAAGCAGAAGTGAAACTAGGGCTAGATACAGGTCAGATCTGTGGAGAGGCGTCTCAATCAATGTATGGGTCATTCCGCTTTAATTCACCCAAAAAATTTTCTATTTTTTTTGCGTGGTCGCCGAATTTCAAATTGTATTTACTCAGCAACTACTGGTCCGATATCAAAAACCAAGGTATCTCTGGAAAGGGGACATCATAAGGTATCAAAATATTGAGATTAATTACCTTTTGACCTATATTTTGACCTTGAAACTGACAATAAGGGACACGCCTGTAAAATGTAGCCCTATATGTCTACAACAACATATAAAAAATCTGGAGGGGTTTTCTTTTTAATTTTCACACAAATTTACTTAGACGTTGAATTACCCCCATGCCAGATTTGGATTCCTTATGATGTCCCCTTTTCAGAGATACCTTGGTTTTTGATATCGGACCAGTAATTGCTGAGTAAATGCAATTTGAAATTCAGCAACCACGCAAAAAAGTTTAAAAAAATGAATTGGTTGGTTCAATTGAAATTTTGGCTTTTCTGGCTATGATTTACCTACCAAGTTTCATAAAAAAAATTTTAAAGTAAGGTTTAACTCATGGGTTGAACTAAGGTGGACTGACCCTTATCTAAGAATGCCTGTTTTTCATAGTATTTGGAGGCAATAAAAACGGACTAAAGGCAAAACAGACAAGTTTAATACAGCACTGTGGAACATTCCAAGGCAAAAAAGACTAGCAGGTGGTGGACGGGCTACCAGAAACGTTACACAATACACCTTTAAGTCCTTGTTCATGCTTTTTCAGGCTAGTTCAAGTGTAGTTATTATAAATGCTACCAGAGATTTAGAATTTACAATTATATTTGCATAGTAACATAAGGCACATCCCATTACAAAGGTCCAGGAGCTCCAGGCCCACGGAGCTCCTACATTTCAGTCACGCATGTTTGAAAAATGGCACATTGGTTGTTTTCCCTTTATCTTATTGCAATGGTGCTAATACAGTATAGTATGTCAACATCATCGAAATCAACCATTAAGTATCCAAACTGTACTGTATTTAGTTAACTGATTTTAGTGTTAATAAAATAGTACAAGCGAACACAAATATTTCAATGTTGCTTTTACCTTGCTGATCTTTATCACATTATGCAAAGTACTATGCCAACAGTTCATGACTTAAAGATGCACAGTGTAACTTTTCCGATGTGAGTTATGGCCTACCTACTTGAGTCCATCGAGATGTTTTGTCTTGCCTAGAATGTTTAACAGTATGGCATTAAATATTTCTATCTTGCATTTATTCAATTACAGTTTTATGCACAGTAATAATTGGAAATAGGGGTGTAACGATATCCAAATCTCACGGTGTGATATTATCACGATATACATCTCACGGTACGATATTTATTGCGATGTTTTGAAAAGGCTAATATAATTGTAGATAGGACACGTTTTTGCTTGTTAGGACAAGATTTTGGTGTGAATTATTTCCATCATAATCCCAAAAATTCAAGTAAAAAAACATATTTCTTCATGTTGTCAGCAATGAAATCAATCACGGGATATGTAGTTTCTGATGTTCATAAGCTGTTGCTACTATAAAACCATGCATTTAAGCAAAGGAGCTTGTAATTCGATATATTGTTGCAGCCCACGGTATAATTGTGAGACTTTTGATGATAGGATATCGCAATATTTTGGTTATTGTTACATCCCTACTTGGAAAACATACATTCTTACAAAGCGCTCCTCACCACGGATTTAACTGGTAACTTGGCCTAGTGGCATCACCTGCTAGTCTGTCTGGAGATACATACATTTAATGATGCCATACTCTGAAACATGAAATCTCCATGGAAACAAGTAGGTAGCTTGAGGCAGCCCTCCTCCAGAAAAGTTACTTAATGCATCTTTAAAGTTACTGCACTGAAACAATAAAGGTAATGTAGATTCAATAATTACAATTCTGCCTCGTGACACTTAATATACAGAGTTATATTTTAACATTATAAGTGTTAAATTAGAGGAAACTAAATAAAAAAGTAACTACAATAATACAGCAAAAGAGTTATAACAATCCTGTTTCATTTCTACTTTGAGGAACTCTACAAAATCAGGTTAATGATTTTTCACAGCAGCATTTTTGTCAAGAATCAAAGATCTAGAGCATCTCCACTGTCATAAATCTGTGTGCACTCAGTCTATTTGCAGAAATAGCACGTCTCATTTGTGGCTGGTACACGGTCGTTTACAACCTACAGATGGTAAACAGAAAATGGGTTTCTAGGGACCTCATTAAACCTATAAACACAAAGTGGTTGAAGCAATCCACAGTGGCAGCTTTAATGGCGTTTCTTGTCAAAGCATGTATTGCTCTGTGTTTTGCAGGGTTTTTCTTGTCCATTTGTTGTTTCGTAACATGCGCATGACAGCTGCTTTTATTTTACACTGAAAGGTCTAATTTGCATAATTGTTCAAATTGTGTAACGGACAACATCGTAGAGCAACCGGGGAGCCCACATGTAGAAGCTTATGATTGTTCGTACACATTATTCAACCCACACTGTGCTGGTGTAGGAAGTGAACTGCATCAATTTTAATGATAGGTCATAAATTAAATATGCAGCATCTGTGGCCATTAGCACAACTGTAAATTTGTCTTGAAATTACACAGTATCAGTAACTAAACTAGAAAGAGTAAGTGAGTTTTGACACAAGTAGTAGTTCCAATAATATCACATCATTCAGGTCCAGTTGTAACTTTATTTAAAATTGTTTGCAAACTCATTTTAGGTGTGTAAACTAAAGACACTTGAGTATTGTTTGTGCACCCTTTTGAAATTCTTATGCATCTGGGCCTGTTATCTCATATTAATAATAATATCAATTCAGAAAAGCTCCAATTTTGTGCTATTTAAGTATTTTCACAAGTGCTATCAGTTCAAATGAGTATCTAGTTGTTCTGGTATTGATTAGTATCTGGATATAGTTTTGGGGATTTATTTTTTATACAACCTTATGAGTGTTGTTCATTTATTTATTTATTTTTTTTTTTTTTATACAGTTATGGTGAACACGAGGACAAAAACACATTCCAACATCTACAATACACAAACAGCTAAATGGTTTTACCTGTCTCGCAGTTGCAATTCCAACACCGACCAACCCTGAGCATGACAACAGGATGAAGATGTTTAATAAAATAATAATGAACCGTGCCCAGTGCCTGCATAGAGGTGTGTCTGGATAGCATGCAACCAAGCCTATGGTATGAGTTTATAGAACTGCAGTGTAATATATAATAAATGACCATGTCTGAAGCCACCGTGACCTCCAAGAATCCAGGGAAGAGAAGGGGGAGGATGGAAGATGGAGTAGACAGTATCATGTTGCAGATACAATTGTGTGGCCTGACTGATTTTTGGAGTTATGAGATTACTGAAATTACATTTAAATCGATAAATGTGATGTGAGTAATCAGACTTCTTTCTGACAGATTATACAGGTTTTGCCTAGAAAAGCAAAGACAAAAATTAAGTTATTTAAAATCCATTGTACTTTGTCTTCCAAATACAAGTTACTCTAAAAATCTGAGCATTAACAGACACGTGACCAGATGTTTTTTTATGATCTTCTTTTTTTGTCCATTTTAACACACACCACAAGGAAAATGGAATCATTATCTGGTTATTCTAGTTATATTTTACTCTCCATTTAAATATACCTAGTGATTTTCCTTATCCGTGGAGCTCAACATCCTATTACATGGTGCCATTTTGAGGACGGTTGACCATTCTGAAGATATAATAGGCCTATTCAGTTTTGATTTGTTGATTTGCTATAACAAAGGTCCGAACTTTTCCTCATTCTAAACCCCATGAATACATACCTCTCACTGTATGTAACCCAAAATTCTACGTGTGCCTTGTCACGCTTTAAATCAGATTTATTCCCCGCTCTTTCTCACTCCTTTGATAGCAGTTGTTGTTGCTCGCCCTCCCTCTCCCCATTGCCGCTTTCATCCAGCTCTGGGCCGTTGCCATGGACACGGGTTGCCAGGTCTCAGGCGGTGAGGCTGAATGGGTTAATTAAGAGGAGGGGCAACCATGGGCCTCCAGATGGGTAGTATCAATGTGGTATAAATGATGCTAGAGGACGTCCAGTGACCAGCCATGTTCTGACTGTACTCATGCAAAATAATGAATTTACTTTATTCATTGAATTTATTTTACTTTTTATTTGATCTTTATCTAATAATCGAATAACAATACTACTGTTTTTCCCCAATAATAATATTAATTAGATTATTATCTAAATATGTGAATAATAATATCAATGCATGTGGCCACATAGTGTATTAACATGGCAAACATACAGTAATTCTATATTAACTTAACTGTAGGCCTGTTACGCACTAATAAGTAAATAAATGTAATATTATTTTTCATAATTCAGTGAAAACAGGTCCTGATTGAGACAGCTAGTTCCATGCATTACTTGAACTTCCAAACTACAATTACAGAATTCAATTTAAGGTCTTTATTCAATCAAATGTCTGGCCCTGTTTTCTAATAGAATTTCTAACAATTACAAGATGGCCGCCATAAAATTGCCATGGCAACAGTATGCCAGACATATTCCTCTAGTTTCATTTTGACCACACTGTTCCAGTAAGTGAGGCAGCCCCCCCTTCACCGCAGGTCTCCGGGGACTGGGAAGCACCCAAGGGAGCACCTCACACAAAAACAAAGCCCTGGGTTCACGGTTCACTGTTCAGTATGCGCCACGTGATGCCAACTTTCAGTCAAACGGTGGGTAGGCCTCATGCAAACGGTGTGATTATTCTGTTACCTTGTTTCTTGGCCTTTGGCGCTGTCATAGAGAGGGAAATAACAAAAAAAACCAAAACAAAACAAAACAAAAAAAAGCAATGTAACAATATGCTTACAAAAACGTGTTTGCAGGAAGCCATTTTGCGCTGGTCCTGTACAAAGGTGTGAAAGCAAAACCCAAAACAGAGTTGTAGCGTCCTCAAGTGGCTGGCTGCTCCCTCTGCACAGGCCTGTTTTATTTTTCAGTTTTGATTATTTGATTATAAGATATAACTTTTACAGTGATTCAGTACAACTGCGCATTCTATAAATATAATACTACTATAGGCTAAACATTATGCTTATTATCTTTAAAATATTGCAGCTATTTGACAATAGCTGAGGCAACATGATGAATAAATAAATAAATAAATATATTCACCACAGGTTCTTTGCAATTTAAAAAAAACAAACAAACAAAAAAACACTTTGCTGCAATTGAATAAGCCCTATTCCTTTAACAATTATAAGGCAGCATATTTCTTGTGATTCATTAATGTGCAATTCCTTTGAGTCAATTTCATGACACAACTCAGATTCTTGACTTTAAGTGCCTATGACAGGTTGAACTACTCATTTCACAAAAATACATTAAATCATCATATTTAAAATTTTACGAAAAAACGAAAAAAACAAAACAAAGAAAATAAATAAATAAATACATTTTTAAAAATTCCTGATTGGAAATCGTGACATCACCCTATGGTTTTTCTTAACTGTTACTTAGCAATCTGAAGTACACTGGGTCAAAATTCCTCTAATGTACACAGAAATTATTATTTAACAAATAAAAATATAAGAAAACACCTTCATCTTGTTTAAATAATAGTTTAGGAATCTGAAAAAATGTGTTTTGTGTGAAATTTGTGTTGAACTTTTGATCAATATGAAACTTTCTACTTCCTGTAATTTTGAATTTTTTTTTTCGATTTTTCTGCACAATTTGGTTATTGATCATTGTAAAACTATAATTTATATTTAGAGCAGGTATTATCCCACCAAATTAAGTCAAAATCTGAGAATCATATAAACCTTTCTTACGCACTTTCAAGGTTATGCTTTTGTAGATATTCTATAAATAATAAAGTGAAGAGTGCCCCCCTGAGGTGTATTGTAGCAGTGCAAAGGCTGAGCAAGTTGCTGTGCAAGTACCGCAAACATTTGTTATTTCAGATTCTTCTTCAAGATATTGCAGTAAAAGAAGCATTTTCTTCTTTGGGTTTGTTGGTGAAGTTGTAATTTCCAATGCGATTCCTTTGGTAATAGAAAAGACAGACAAAACCAATGATGAAGAAGATTGCCAGCCCCACGCCAAGACAGGACAGTCCAATTATTGAGACTTTGTCGAATTCCTCTTCAAAGGTTTCTGCAAAAACAAAATGAAATGAGCCAAATAAAGTATTATTCTAATTTGGGGCTAACTGATTTGGGAAAATATCTAATTGCGATCTGACAAGCATTATGATGAGATTTGCAATTTATGATTTAATAACAGAATTAAGTTCAATGTTCACATTTTAATTAATTAATTTTAATAAAATTGCCAGTAAAACTGAAATATAAACTGACAAGCTAATACAAGAATCACAGAACATGTTTGTACAGATCTAAACTACGGGTTTTATGCAGAATAAGATGTTTTTAAAAAGTCTTTTGGTGATTTCTTACCTTCATACAGCCTGAGCAGAGGTCCAGAAGTCCCTAGACCTTTTCCAACAGTGTTGCCAGAGCGGGAAGCTCTCTGCAGACAGTCCTGAAATTGAACACAGAGCTTGACAATATCACTAAATTAACATTTTAAAAATATCTAGTGCAGGAAGAAACTGTGACAAATTACGAGATATTGGCTTCTGCCTCTCTACTTACAGGAGCGCAGGAGTCCAGACCAATTTCCACACATATTTCCACCTGGCAGTGCAGATAGATGATGCTGAGATCTACAAAGGAGAATATCTGCACAGACAAGCTGGAAGTGCTGGAATTCCCATTAGTTATAACCGTGGTGTAAGGATTCAATGAACACCTGAAAGCCAGATATAGCAGGTACATACTGAATAATGTATTCCATAATATTTTTGCAGACCAAAAGTTAACAAACTAAGAAAAAGGCATTTTATGAGGACTAAAACCAAAACAAAATGTTAAAATGTGTTTTCAATAAAATATAAAAGTTTACATAAAAGAAAATTGTCATCAGTGTGTTTTGAACCAAACTCAAAACCAACGTCTAGGTCTGGTGCTTTGTAGGAGCTGATTTAATTAGTTAAAAGTATTTTATAATTACACTTTTAAATAGACATTCAGCTGACTAAAACTCAAAAACTAAGAAAGTACTTTTAGTCAAAGTCTATATTAAAATGTGTTGCTAAACAGAAGATTTAAATATTTTGCACTGACATTGAGTATTACAAATCCTCAATCAAAGTTTCACTATTTGCCACCTGCTTGTCTCCATGAAGATGTCATTGCTTTGCCAGGAGTGTTCCACAGTATGGCATTAAACTTTAAACTTAACTGAAAAAGTTAAAAAGTTAAAAGGTAAAAGTCTGAACTGTGGAGAGGAGACCCCACTCAAAGTAAATGAATGTCTTTCAAGGAATTTTTGAGCAATAAAAAAAACATCTGTAATTGAATAAGTAAGAGATAGATCTGTTCAATGCCATACTGTGGAACATTTCAGGTAAAGCACTAGCATCTCCATGGAGACAAGTCATCCACCACACAGTGCACCTTTATGTACAACATATTCCAGTCCTCACCTGTTATCCATGAAGATGTAGCTGGACACCGGTATTGGGAATGGGGTGGGGGTGGCCCAGCACTTGTTGATGACCACTTTGATCTTGTCCACTGATGTGTTGAGGCTGACCACCAGGAGCACGGCCTCACTGGGGGACAGGCTGTAGTTATGGGGCAGAGGCACAGAGCCATTCATCAGCTGCACCGTCACATGGAACATCCCTGAGCCCGAGATCACGTCCTTGATCATATCGTACCTGAATATGGGGTAAGGGTAATTATTGGCAGTTTTCAGATTATGTGATGACGTCATACTGCCAGATGGGGGCTAGAGGCAGTTTTTCCTATTGATTCCATTATATCATGAAATCTGTCATGAAATATCCAAAAAATAAATACACAAATATTTAACCTGATCATTTTTTTCAACGACTAACTCACTTTATTTACAACAAAAAAATCAGCATTTTAACATGATTAATTTGACCTGCCCTCTTTGTATTAAATGGGATTGGCCTGTACAATATTGTGACGTCATCTGAAATCCAGCAATACAATGATCAGTGACAATTCTAATACTAAATGTCATGCGTTACGTTTAGTCTGGCTACAGTTAACTAACCACACTATATCATGACACCTCACCATGGTAATGAGTAAGCAGATTAAGTACTGTTATGAGGGACTAGCTTAAACAAAAACAGGAACTAATGTTTCCACATACAGCCAAAAAGTTTAAAAGGTCAGATTTAAAAGTTAACTATTTTCAGTTGTTGGAACCATGGTATAAATGGATTAAACAACTCAGAACTTACAGAAAGATGTCCTATGTAACTTTTCTGGTGGAGGGCCAGCTACCTTCTTATGTCCATAACATAGACCATATATGTGTCTTTTTTTACAGTATATTCTTTTATACAGTCTATGGTCCATAGAGATGTTTCTTGTTACTTTGCCTGGAATGTTCCACAGTATAATATTTAGCAAATTTATCTTAATGGAGACAAGAGGAAGCAAGTTACAGGTTAGATCTGTAGAGGGGTGACCTTGCCCCTTACTGTGAGTAAGAAGGCATTTGAGTTATATCTGAACATTATAAACACTTGAATATTTGCAAGATAATGTCAGTGTCAATGCATATAGCAGCATATAAAAAAGTAGCAGTCCCTCTACCAGAAAAGACAGCACATATTAATTGTATGTACACACTTTTGGTCACAAAAATCATTGATCTCATATAATGATTTTATTCTTTTAAACATTATTCAGATGTTGTGGCTTACCCCACTGAGCCGAAGTCAGATGTAATGAGCATATTATTCTTGTATGTGCAGATGACAGGTATCTGCAGTCGTATCTTAGACCCCTCATTGGTGTTTATGGTGTTAAACAGGGTTACAGAGGCAGTATAGTAGCTGTCATTCTAAAGGACAATAAAGACTGGTTATTCACAGGTTTTTATATAACACAAGGTATGACTGAGCAAGACAGACTTTTAATCAGGGAAATTTAAAAGGCCTGATCTACTGTATGTTATAATGTTGTTTCCTCATCAAAATATACTTGTGCTGAGTTGTGTTTTGTTTGATTCACACATTTAACCACAAGCCCTATATATTTAGGCTGAATTCATCTCTCAAACAGAAAATATTCTGCTCCACCTTGTGATGTCATGTCTTAAAAAAGGAAGTGCTCCACTGTGTTTTTTAAACTTTATTCACCTTCACTAGAATAATTTGTATAATCTCTGTTAAAATAAAGGTAAAAGGTAGCTGTGAACCTGAAAACTACCACCTCATGACACGAGAAGGTGGAACAGCATTTTGAACTTTAAGGATGTAGACAGAGGGTTACTGAAACATGTTTGGATGATATAAAACACAATTCCAGGTATGTTTTTGAGAAGATAACATCATTCTAATATGGCTTAATGCTCACACGAGTCAATTTTGTGTAATATAGGGCCTTTAAAACCCCCCAAAATAGTCCCAACCACATGCTGAATTGACTGTAGACCCCTAAATTAAATATACCAAAGCATATTATTGACTTTAGACATTTGACATTAATTGCCCTGCCCTTATACAAGACAATGAAAAGTGCCACTCACCTGCATTAGAACAGTGTTGCACTCGTCCCAGTCCACTGTCAGCTGGGCATGTGTGGAATTCCCTCCGTTGACCCCACAGTCTGCCATGCCCAGGTAGAGAGCAGCCTCTGTGATTTGACTGCTCTGGAGGAAGTCCTTGGCAACAGTAACCGTGATGGAGTCCATATTGCACGTCACTGTAATGGCCCCGGATGCAGAGATGTTTACTGTTATGATACCAGAGCGATGGGGGGAACTGGTAGTGGGGACTGTTGTTGTGTTGCTTGTAGAACTTGCGATTGTAGGCCTGTTAGTAGTTGATGTTAATGAAATGGTGGTTGCAGTAGTCGTGGAAACTGAAGTTGTTAATAGACTGGTGGACATTGTGGCAGAAGTTGGCAGTGATGTAGTATTGGTTGTTCTGGCAACAGTGGTGGTTGTAGGGGCAACAGAGGTGGTTGTCATGGAAGTATTAATGGTTGTTGGGGCTTTGGTGGTTGTTGAGACAGTTGTGGAGGTAGTCGGGGTAGCACTGGTGGCTGTTGTTGGGGCAGCAGTGGTAGTTGTTTGGGCTGTGGTGGTTGTCAAGGCAGTTGTGGAGGTAGTCAAGGTAGCATTGGTGGTTGTTGTTGGCGCAACAGAGGTGGCTATCACGGTAGCAAAGTTGGTCATCATAGAAACATTAGTGGATGTTGGTGCGATGGTGGTTGTTTGGGTTTTGGTGGTTGTTGTGGTGGTAGCAATGCTGGAGGTCAGAGCAGCAGAGGTCATTGTTCGGGCAGTTGTGGTAATTGAGGAAGTAGTGATAGTTGTCATGGAAGCATTTGTGGTTGTTGGGACAGTGGTAGTTGTTGAGGCAGTGGTGGACATTGTTGGGGCAGGAGTGGTGGTTGTTTTGGCTGTGGTAGTGGTCGGACCAACAGAAGTGGTTGTTGTGGGAGCAGTGGTGGTTGTCATGGAAGTACGAGTGGTTGTTACGACGTTAGTGGTGGTTGTTTGGGGTGTGGTAATGGTCGGGGAAACAGAACTGGTTGTTGGGGCAGCAGAGGTGGTTGTTTTGGCTGAGGTGGCTGTGGCAGCTGTTGTGAAGAAAATAGATTTGGTTGTCATGGAAGTTGTTCCTGCCACATGCTCACAGTCTGATTTGTACTTATGATAATCTGTATTTCTACGTACGATAAATATAGCCATGATTTGATGGAACATATTCTAACATGATTTGCACATTTTACATTTGTCTGGTTTATACCTTCACATGATCGACCGGGCCTTTCTGGGCTGACATCCACGAACCCTTTCCAGCAAGTACAGGTGTAAGACCCCCAGGTGTTATTGCATGTTGCAAATGGAGAGCAATCGTGCTCTTTTAATGCACATTCATCACGATCTGCAGAAACATGTCCGAGTTTTAGTTTGTGCAGTGCTCTTTAATTATTCAAAAAAGTGCATAAAAGTGCATATGACAGGTTAGGCTATTGATTTCATTGAAACATAGTTAACATAATTTAAGATTTTTCTAAAAATGTTGCTCTTTTTTCAAGTTTTTTACTTAATTTTACTTATTTGCAGGAACCATATGGTAAACAAGGACCAAAGCTCATCTAATTCACACAATTTTTTAACAAAGAGAAATATATGACAACACTGCCAGATGAATGCTTTTCTCATTCATTCTCATTCATTTTGGATCAAAGTGGTGAAAGTTTCAGTATTAATAACACATAGATACTCCATTTTAGAACTCACAAATACTTCCTTTATCTTTGTACTTTCCCCACAAACTGCCACTTTAGTGATGTAAAACGGTGATAAATATTTATCACAGGTACTATCCCACCAAACCAAGTAATTATTAGAAACACATTTGCACTTAAACCAGAATAACATTTACTGCCGTATTACCCATGATTTTTATGTTCTTTGAGTCCACTTCATATTTAGAGCTGTCCATAAGGGAGGTTAACACGGCGGATGTAACATTGCTGATATCTTCACTTTGAGTCAGGGTGAAGACAAGGGTGAAGCTGACGACTACGCTGCCCGGGGTAAAACCTGTGATCTCAATTCTCACTTGGCCTGAGTCGACCAAGGCCTTCATCTCAGGGGGCAGAGACCTGTAGATCTGATAATGACGTCAGTGTTGGGTATGTCATGGTGATGAAACAACTGACCTTTTTGTATGAATGTCAGACTTAGAATAGAACCAGTACTGATTAGGACTGCACAATATATCACAATCAAATCGTGCAATTATCAAATCACCAAGACTGTAATTATTTAGGTGTTAAAAAGCCCTCTGTAAATTACTAAATGTCCTGTCTTTTTATTGAAGAAAAACAGTTGCAGTTAACTCTTTAGTTTTTTGATTTTTGCAAACATGTTTTTAAATGCATGGAATTTTTTTATTAGTTTATCAGTTCATATTTTAGTCTTTACTCAAATATTAATGGCCGTGTTTGTAAAAATCAATCACATTTTAAAACATATTGAGACAGTTTTGTCCCAGCAGCCATTGCCTTTTTGAATAAGGTCATTCTGCACAACTGATAACTCTTATCGTATGCATTTTGTCTGTGTTCTGAATGTGTGCATGTCAAATTTAAGAAAAAAGACACCTTAACCTTAAAGGGCAAATTTTTGATCTGTTATAATGTTGTTTCCTCATCAAAAACATACCAGGAGTTGTTTTGTGTCATTCACACATGTTTAACACATTGTTTCCCAAAGACTCTCAGGTGGGTCGCAAGAGATTTTTTTGGGGTCGTCTGAGATGCGCCTGATCTACATGTTGCACTCTCCTCCTGCACCTCGGACTGGAACATGCTACAAAAACGCAGACAGGCCCAACGATCTCATTAGGAATGTTGAAATGTTAAGACATGTTTTGAATAATTTCTAATCTTTTTGTAATTTTTTTATTGACTATTTTGTTCCAATATTTCTGGTTCAATTGAATGTTGAAAAGAAAAAGAAATGGGCTACATTTGATGCTCAAATAGGTGACTTATGGATATGTTGTTGCTGGTTCAATAACTGTTTTTCATTGTTTAAAACTTGAGTAATACTAATTGTTCAGACGGACATGATCACTCAGTCAACAATAAAATATCCTCATTAATGCTCAATAACGGTCAAATCCACCTTTGTTTTGTGATTTACGAATAATCTCTATTGATTTGGGTCATGAAGGTTTGTGACTTTTATATTTATTTATATGTTTCCCCAGAAAAAAGTTTCAGAAACACTGGCTTAATACACAAACCCTGCATATTTAGGCTGGATTTTTCTATATAACAGAAGACACCCTGTGCTGTCTTCAAGTGGTAAAACAGGAAGTGCTCTACTGTGTTTTTAAACTCCATACTCTTTCTCTCTAGAATCGCTTAAATAGTTTGCAGCCATAGAAGTGCCAAATCTTGAAGCTACAGCTACAGTTTTAGCCTCATTTAAACTGCTTCACTCCTCTGGGCACCAGCAGATATTGGAGATTTTCTGTGGAAATTTCAACTAAGGCAAAACTATTAAAACAAAACAAAAAAAGACAAAAACTTATGGTTGTTTTAGTGTATTGTAGACTAAAGCAGCATGAGGCTAAAAATATCAGCATTTTGAGCTTTGGGGATATAGACAGCCAATAATGCAGGATTACTTAAATATGTGTGAATGAAACAAAACAAAACTCCAGGTATGTTTTTGAGAATGTATCAACATTCCCACATGACTAAAAGCTCACAAATCAATTTTGTGTAATATAGGACCTTTAACCTATTAGACTTTCTCCATAACTGTGCAGCCCCTGTACTGATTCTGCTTACCTCCATGTAGATGTCGGCACTGAGGTTTGTGTAGGCAGAGCTGGAGGTATTTTCTAAGTCGCTGGTGTAGTTAACATTAGTGAGACGAGCCGTGGCATTCAAAGTCTGAGCATCTACAAAGAGAAAGCAAGTGAAACCCTCTTTTTCTCTCAGAGTGGATTCAGAAGCACAAATCAGCTCTTAGTCACACTTTGATTGTCACAGATGGTTGCAGATTGTGACAAATTGACTTCTCTTTAATGATTAATCTAGCTTTATATTGATACTTTGCAGCTGATGTCGTCAGATATTCTCTGGGGGTGTGAAGCGAACTGTTATTCAAGTTAGACTTTAATCTGAGCTTTATTTTAACACAATCTGAACAAAAGCACACTCAGAAGGTGAGATGATTTGTGCTGCTAAATAAGTCTCTTTCACATAAAAGTACAGTCACAAGCTCACTAGCATTTGCCAGCAGTTTTTCAGTTGATCATATTTTTGGTTGAAAATCAAACACCTAAACACTCGTATTGATCGCAGACTCCTGAAAATGTGTTTTTAAAATCCATTTGTATTTTTTCTGGAGTTTTCAGGTTATTTAAAACGTTGCTCATGTGTGAACTGTGTCTCCATGATTATCTCTGAACATTTCACCAATAGAGATACATGTACAGCACCCCTAGCGTGATGGCATTGCAAAGTATCAATTAAGTGGTAGATGGAAAGAAATAAAGGATGAGAGAAAAGTCTGATGTAGTTTGCACATAAGCCGATTTTTATAGTTTCATATTTTGTGATCTTAAAGCTCATCCGGGTAACTTTAAAGCTGAAAGTAGACAAAATAAAACCATGCTGTCACTGAAAAACGTGCATCTTCACTTATTTGGCCTCCTGCTTGTTTCCATGGAAATGCTGTTCCTTTGACTATAATATTCCACAGAATGATCTGTTTATCTCCATGGAGAATGATCCAAAGTGTGGGTTTTAATGTTTGATTTCCATGGAATCATGCAGGTAGTGTGCCACCTCCACAAAGTTAAACGGTGTTGCTTTAAATACTGTATCATTACAAATATTTTTAATACACAGTGATTATTAGTTGAATCCCATAAGATAACCAAAGAAAAAAAAACATTACCATTATTGCTATTGCTTCGCGGTAGTGCTGTGTGATAAAGCAGCAAAACAATATCAAAATGTGTTTCTTTGTATTGAATGATCATGTATTTTTTTTCTTTTTAACACTTTTTAAAATTTGAATCTTAATTTTGATAACATAAATGAGGCATACTTTTCATTTTTTTATGTAATTTTATATCAATATTTTGATATATTGTCCATCTCTAAGCCCACAGTATCAGAGGAACATTTAAACTCCATCCAGGTACTGAAGAGTCATACATATTTCGTCTGCGTTCACTTTTCTTACCTGTCTTAACGGTCAGCTGTGCGCTGTTTCCCTGGCTCCCACATGCATGAGGTGTAACAATGACCACATAGAGTGCTCCAGCCTGTAGACCTGTCATTGCCAGCATTGTTTGACTTGTATCATTAAAATAGATGACCTTTGACCCATTACGGAGAACAACACTGTAGCTTTGGTTTCTTGGGAATTGGCTAGACCAGTAGACACAAAATGATGTAGCAGTGACATTGGCTACTTTCAAACTGGTGATGGAGGGAGCTGCTAGAGCCAAAAAGAAGTGGAATTAGATTGTAATTGTAATGAATAAAAAAAATAAAAAAAAACTTACAGCAAGTTGTTGGTGGTTGCGTCTCATTGGTGTAAGTTGTATTATTCGAAATAATGGTGGTCAGTGACTCTGTTGTAGTTCTGCTGAAAGTGCTTGCTGTGCTCATGGGAGAAAAGGATGTAGTCTTCAGTGTGGAGGTGGGCATAGCTGTAGAATAATATTGTAATTTTTGCATTATCATAATTTATCCAAATGGACACTATAACATTGAACATTTAGTTGAAAAAACAACTATGTTACACCTCTTTAGTATCTCTTTAGCAATGTTTTTTCTTGCAACTTAAAAGTGCACTATGTCATTTTTCCGATGGGTGGGTCGCCACCATGGAAATGCTTTGTTTGTAATATTCCAAAGTATGGTATTAAGTTATGGGTGTTTTATTGCATGTATTTTTACTGTAAGGGGTCACCTCTGCACAGATATGAGCTATTATCTTCATGTTTTATTTTTATCTTTTTATTTTTCAAAATGTTATTGTCATTGTCATAGAAAACAATGAAATTACATTTAAAGCATCAAATACTGCATAGCAAGACCTCATCCAATAGCATCTTCTGCTTGTCTCCGTGGAGATAGGTTTAGTGTGATAGTATGGAACATTCCAGGTTAAGAAATACATGGAGAAAAGTTACATAGTGCTAGCCACGCTAATGCTTCCGCTCAATTTCATTTTCTTGCCAGCGACTCTGTCAGGAATCAGAATACTCTTTGCAAGAACCCCGGAACCACTGGTTAAGTAAAAAAGTACCTGCCTACGGTCGACCAAATGAATCATAATGCTGCGAGGTCAGACGGTTTCCTCGAAGTGAAACCAGCTGATGAATCTTGGTCTTGGTGATCTTTTCTCCACAGATATGACTTATAACATAACTTGGTGGTTAGTTAATCTAAATTTTTACCTGTGCAGTTAGTTCCAGGGTTGGTTTGGTCCACATCAGCGTATCCAGGGCGACAGGTGCAGAAGTAAGAGCCAACAGTGTTCATGCAATCAGCATATGGAGAGCAACCATTGAGAAAAGGCTGTGTGCATTCATCTATATCTGTGATTTAAAAAAACAAACAAAAAAACATTACAGTACAAAGGAGAATAATACAGTAATTTCATTTGGGTCTAACCTTTTAAGGAGTTTGTGACAGATTTCTGTTACTTGTTCACATCCACTGGCAACACTACTTACTATTTTGGTTTTGATAGTCAGTCAAACTTTATTTTTTATGCATGTCCTTGTTCTTATTTTTATATGACCATAATTTATATTACTGCACTATTATTAATTATTTTAAGTTGCACCATAACACCAAAGCAAGTTCCTAGTTTGGCAATAAAACAATGGCAATACATTTTTTTGATTGTATTTACAATTACACAATCACTGTTGAACTCACTGGCTTTGCTCACATGAGCACCAAAATCTGATTCTAATTTGATTTAAGTTTACTTAAATGACATGTGCCCTGAAAAATCTGATGTGAGTCATCAGGTAGACCATGATCAGAAACAAATCAGATGGTTTTGCTGTTTACATTTTATTTTATTTGTCTAAAAAAACTGATGTTGATCAAATTTTAAGTGTGCTTGTAACTACAGCCAGATGATATTAATAGACTGCCTTGAAGCACTTATTACTGAATGAATAAACATTTGCTAATGATTTGAGGAAAATTACCTTTCTACAATTGAAGTCCAGAATTCTTGTATTTGGCCATGTATGAAGAGAACAGGGAGGAAGCATGAACACTAGTTTGATGATCCCCTCTCGCTAATGGCTCAGACACACTGTTTTCAGCCTAACATACTGTTCTAAAAATAGCTGATTGCATAAAGCTGAACGGGTAAAGGACGCTCAAACATCAAATGACTCTATTTATTCTATAGAAGCTTAATGGACTGAAGATCACCCATTCAGTTACTCATAATAAACAACATTAAATCATTCATAACAACATTGTTGAAATGAGAGCTAGCAAGGCTGTGTGCAAATGAATGTGACTGATTCATGATTGTGTCTCTGAGTGGAGAGTGGGCGTGCGCTCAGTGCACGTGTGCGTGCTTGTTAGTGCTGCTATTTTCCGCTATTGCAGGAAACATCCCACATGACTGTCACTCAAATAGAAGTGGTGGGAGAAGGAAACTGTGGTGCGACTGAGTCATTTTTTCCCGAACGCTGTGTTCTTTGCTACATGAATCATACTGAAAACTCTGTGAGAATGTCGTTGCTCTGGAGAAAAATAACCCGCAGGCAGATCTTACGCTTTAGTATTAATCTGCTCTACTTCTCACCTTGTACAGTTACTGAAGACACCTCTTGGATGTGTTTGATGAGCTGGTAGAGCATTATTGTGACGTTATGAAGGGAAGGGCTGGACCTGCAGTCAATCATGAGAGAGGTGGCAGTTCTGTATGGATGCACAGGTTGTGAATTGAGGTAATAGATGGAGGCATGTAACTTGAGGACCCCAGTTACCTTGTAGGGACATCAAATAAATAAAGTTAAGTCCAACAATGTTCTTGTTTTATAATCAGTAAAAGTTGTCATCTATAATAATCATCATTACTATTGTGGTGAAATACAAATTGGGAATATAATTTTTGCCATGATGCATTTACATTTACTGTGAGAGTTCTTCCTTAAAGGTCCAAATTGACTCTTGTGAACAGGTGGAACAGAGTGTTTTCTGTTTAAGATAAGAACTCAGCCTAAATATGTTGGATTCGTGTGTTAAACTCAACTCCAGGTCTGTTTTTGATGATGAAACATTATAACATGGATCATACAATAGTAATATGGGCTCTTTAATTTTCTGTTAATGCAAATGCAAATTCAGAGCACTATTAATCAATCCCATGTACTCAACACAATTGGTACCATAGCATATAATAGTCTGGTGTGATTGTAGAGTCCTCCTTCTCTGGACATTAAATCTTTATAATCCACTTTTATCGTCACTGTTGCGTTGAACTGTGACCCTCCTCGTTTAAAATAATCAGAGTCTGTGATTAAAAAGATACTTATTAAAACTTAGATTAACAATAATGAAAACTCGCAAAATGATAAGTGATACTGACTTGTAGGATCTGTGCAAAACTGACAGCATTTTTGCCAGCCTGGACAATCTGTATCCCATTCACAGTCACGGACACAAGGCACAGTTGTTGTTGGACAAGATCCTGGTTTGACAATGAGCTCCCTACTCCTGTTCACCACTTCATTCAAAGGAAATTACAAGTTACAGGCCATATATTAGCAGGGAGATGCGCATTTGCAGTAGTGCTTATTACACGGGCCCATCTGGTTTGCTTTGTCCCACAGAGGACTTAACAAAAGATGCACAAGACTAGTAATGCAACGATCTGATACTGGTATGAGATCGGTGTATCGAGGTATGATACGATCAGATATCAACTTCCAAATATCAGTTCAGTAAATATTCTGGTTGGACATACTGTATAAACTGATGTAATAAGATTTGTCATCCCAGAAAAGTCCTATAATGTTTGAGCTTTTATTTACACAAAGTTGTTCTGTGGTTACTTGAGATATAAACAACAGCTACGTAACATATTTCAATTGATTTTGTCTTATTTTATTTTGTTTCAGTCTCTACTCTGGTATTGGTTGATATCGAGGATCGTCAGATACTTAAAGCAACAGTATCGAAATCAGTATCGGAACTGAAAAAGCTGGATTGGTTCATTCCTACCAAGTGCCATGCTACATCATGAAATAATAGCATTAAATAACAATAATAATTACATAATTTGATAAAATGTGTAAGAAATTATTCATACTTACTTAGTGCGCAGTAATGGCCAACCTGTTCGTAGGCATCACAACACCTGGTCACCTGCTCTGTGACTGTTTTATATTCTGTGTATTGAATCTTTCGGTATTTTGTAACTTTGCATGTTTTCCAAGGAATCCAACCGCCACATAGTTTTGTAACTGTATAAGGCTCCATATATTCCACATTGTAGCTTACAAGCCTGGTCTCATTGTGTGTACAGAGATGATAGCCAAACTCAGAAAGTCTATAATCTACAAATAAGTTAAATGTTATTTTTAGCTGTCATAATTTGAGAATAACATGTTTTGTATAGGTAAAGTGCAAATGTCTTACCTTCTTTTTCAGTGTGTTGTCCCTTGCAAAGATTATTAAAGGCCCAAATTAACCAAATAAATAGTGTCCAATTCATTTTTCTTGTCATTTTAATTGTTTAAACTAAGTGTAATTATCAGATACATTTTAAATCCATTCTTTTCACTGATGTGGTGCTAACTCATAGTTCAGGGTGTATCCAAAGACCAACTCCCATGGTTCATACTCTCCTCCCCTCATTTTGCAAACATTCCCCAAAGACCGAAGACTTTGAAGTTAAATAATCTATTATATTCCTTTAAATGCACTCTATATTTCACTAATAAATGGCAAAACAACAGATTAGAATTGACGTTAAGTTAGCTATCAATTCCAAGTGATTCTATTTCTACATAATATAAATGAAGAATACATTATGCATTTTTTTACTTTTTTATCACTGTGAATGTTCTGTTAAAAGCAGCAATGAACATATATCTTTTAATTTAGTTTCTGAAATAACACTACTTGTTTTAATGTGCATCTTAAGGCACTGCCAGTATAAGAAAACATGTTTATGATGGCAGAGACAGAGAAAGGTGGGAGGAGACTAAATCCCTAATGGCTGGGTTTGCACAGGTAACCATGGCACTGCTCACTATCCTCCTGGTATTAAACAGTCAGCGGCAGCTAAAAATGTCAGCACATGAGAACCCTGATACCTCCTGACCATATTTAGTTCTTCGAAAAATATGCTCTATTGCTTTATTTGTAGTGATATATGCAGCTAATTAAACATATTTGAAGAATTGCTATTACAGCTATTATGACAAATTATCAAAGTGCCCTATGATTATTGATAGAGCTTGAAATGAAATTCAATACATATTCTTTTATAATGAGGTGTAAAATCGTACTTAATTAGCCTGTTCATTCACTGAGTAATGACTAAAATGCGCACTGAAGCGCACAGGTTTGACAAGAAAAGATGGACAAAATAATAATGCACAACAAAGCTAATGATGGATATGCATAAAGAAACAAAAGACATTAAGACCTTTTCACACATTCTGTAGTGCTAAAGGCCACAACAGTTATTTCTGTTGTATATAAATATACATATATACAAATAGCAACTGGTTCCTTTGGGTGCCAAACTTAATGGCAACAATCTTCTGCTGCAATGGTCCTTCATTCACTCATCAATCTAATTAGTTTCATTGGGACCAGCGTGAGAGCATAGACGTACTCCATTATGTTAAACTGTATGTAAACCAAACATTACTGAAAAAAGTGCACTCTTTTTGTAGGCTTGTGGCATTCTGATAGTCTTTGTTATTGTTTTGTTTGAGTTTCATTGCAATATTTTAGCACCAATTATGACCTGTAATCAAGAACAACAACTTTTAAGTTTATATAGACTTAGACTTAGACAAAATTTATTGATCCATAAGGGAAATTATTTGGACACAGTAGCTCACACATCACAATATAAAATAATAACAAAGAATGAAAATATGAATGGTAATAATAAATTCTAAATATGTAGCAAAAAAAGATAGTAAGAGACAGATGTAAAATAAGACATAATAATATAAATGAAAATATACTGTCAAAATAAAATGGAAAAATAAGTAGTCAATATACTAGAGGTCATAGAAAGCAACAATGATATGATGATTGACAGGACCTAGGATCTGTTACATAAAGGTGGGTTGTTGTACAGTTGTAGGGAGTATTATTTGTTAGGTACAGGTGAGTTGTTGTACAGTTATAGGGAGTATTATCTGTTACACAAAGGTGAGTTGTTGTACAGTTGTAGGGAGTATTATCAGTTATTTAAGGGTGAGTTGTTGTACAGTTGTAGGGATTATTATCTGTTACATAAAGGTGAGTTGTTGTACAGTTGTAGGGATTATTATCTGTTACACAAAGGTGAGTTGTTGTACAGTTGTAGGGATTATTATCTGTTACATAAAGGTGAGTTGTTGTACCATTGTAGGGAGTATTATCTGTTACACAAAGGTGACTTGTTGTACAGTTGTAGGGAGTATTATCTGTTACATAAGGGTGAGTTGTTGTTCAGTTGTATGGTTGTTGTGCTGTTATAGGGAGTATTATCTCTTACGTAAGGGTGAGTTGCTGTACAGTTGTAGGGAGTATTATCTGTTACACAAAGGTGAGTTGTTGTACAGTTGTAGGGAGTATTATCTGTTACACAAAGGTGAGTTGTTGTACAGTTGTAGGGAGTATGGTATGAATGTAGTCCTGTATCTCTCACGTCATATCTGTCACATCTCTCATGTCATAAAGCAAATAAATAAATTATAAAACCCAGTGTTACTAATGGTCGAAAAAAATAGTCCGCAGAGTGAGTTTGAATTAAATAGTAGAAATGTGCACGTAAACTAGAGCTTTCCCTTTAAATTAGCCTCTCATCAAGTCTCGGTTAGTCCCGCCTCCACATACTCGAGCAGCCAATCAGAGCGCGGCGACGTGACGAGCGCTCTTTGCGATGACCTCATCCCTGGTGTGGGATGACGTCAAATTCAAGATGGATGGAATCACGAGCAGCGCAGAGAAATCCACACAACACTGAATAAAGTCCGTGTGTGGGGAGGAAAGACTTAATTAACGACGGCTCCGGTAAGTGGACACGTCTCCCACTAACTTACGGCTGAGCGCGGGTGGTTAAACAGACTCTGAGAAGTGCTTGGAGGAGATCAGGCTTCTCCTTTTCCTCACTGACGTAACTCGAAAAGGGGGATTGTGCTGCTGGAAAATGCTCACCAGCGACAACCTGTTTTGCAGGCGAAGCACTGACCATAAAGCGGCCAAAGGTTTTGCGCGAATAAAAACCGCACAATATCAAAAGTAGCGGATTTTATTTAGCTACTCCTCCTCTCGCTCCAACTAGTGTCTGCGTGTCCGCGCCGCCTGTGTTTTCATCCCCTGATCACGCTGCTGGAGCCCATTGAAACGTTTCGGGGCGGCACACACAACTTTTCTTTCTATAATTAGCGGTGATGTTAGGCACATTTTGTTTCAGCAAAAACAGCGGTCTGATAACTTCATCAAAGATAAGCTTATCTGTAAAATGTAGCAACATCTTCTGTATGGACTGCACACAAAACTCTTTCTTCCTTCTTTCCTTTCTGCCCTCCTTATATAAAGCACAAATTACTCAACATTCAACTACTGGCGTATTTGTAAATGTGATCTGTTAAACTCGTGCGTGGGTTGAAAACTCTGTTATCTTATTTATTTTTTATAAGTGTCCACGGTGGAACTAAATCCATGGGCATAGAAGCGTATGCTGCTGACATTTTTTCTTCGTCGACAAGTTTCAAAATAAATGTTCCCACAATATCAGTTTATCTATCAGATCATTACTTATGAACACTTATTTGAAAAACAGGTTCATATGATAGATCATTCAAACCAAATTCAGTACTGCCCAGAATCTTTCCTCTTTTTACTTCCTTGAGCTCTTCAGTAGGCAAAAAAATTAACTCCATGGCCACAAAATAACATGATGTAATCCACTTTATATGCTGCCAGTAAATGTTAAAAATGGGGAAGTATGAGACATAGACATATAGGCTAATTAGTGTATGTGTCAACCTCAAAGTAACATTGATCATTTGGCCCTTTTTTAAAAATATCTTTTTAATGGTTTCTTTTATTCTTTACTTTATTAATATCATCACAAATGTCTTTGTCTTCGTGTATTGAAATGACTTCCCTTTTTGTTTTTCAGCCATGGAGAGCCTTATGCATTACAGTAATCCCTCCCATGCCCTCTCAGTGTTGGGGGTGCTGAATGAGCAGCGGCTGAAGGGGCAAATGTGTGATGTGATCCTGGTGGTTGCAGATCAGAAGTATAATGCCCATAAGAGTGTCTTGGCAGCCAGCAGTGAATATTTCCAATCTTTATTCACTCGGATGGATACAGAGTCAACAAAGATTGTGAATCTAGACTTCTGTGAGCCGGATGCTTTTGAGATTGTCCTGAACTACATCTACTCTTCATCCCTATTTGTTGATAACGGTAGCCTGGCAGCAATTCAAGAACTCGGCTACAGCCTAGGGATCCCCTTTCTCACCAACATTGCATCAGCAAGGCCACACGCCTCCTACTGTGTGTCAAGAAAAAGATTTAGTTTCTCAGAGGGTGATGAGAATGATGTCCAGGCAAGAAGTGTAATCGTGAGAAGGGTTAAAACAGACACAGCCCACTCTTCCTATTCAAATTATTCAAACAAGCCACCTGAGACTGCCTCGTCTTCACTCTCTGCCCGAGAGACCCCTCCCCCGTCTGTACAAAAGTCATTCAAATCAATAAGAACTTCTGAAGCTATGAAAGCTTCACAAATGACTGATACCTCTGAACGGAAATCCATCCATCCTTACACTTCGATACTGAAAGGCAATTCATCACATATTACATCAGTTAGGCCCCAGTTGACTTCATCTGTGTCTTTCAGTGATGCTGAGGTGCAGCACATCAGACTGCAGTGTGACCAAAACACAAAAGAAGACAGTGGAGAATATGATTCCCATTATCACAGTAAAGTTCCCCTTCAGAGTACCACACAAGAGCCAACCCAGACTATTGACCGGAGTGGACCACTCATAAAAAGTCTTCTCCGAAGATCATTGTCAATGGACAGTCCTGTTCCAGTCTTCTCACCTACTCTGGAGTTACGGGAGCTGCAAAACCGTGAACAGTCTGTGGTTAAAATGGCTTCAAGAGTTTCCGGCCCAGACACTCCCGTCCACAATGGTGGTCCCAAAAGAACATCCCCTTTGGTTCTCAGGTCACGGAGGTATGATGCTGAAACTCAGGTAGAGAGAGATGTAAGTGTGAAAGCTGAGCCCAGCAGTCCACTGGCTGACCCCATGGACATAGTTCGAATCACAGTGGGAGATGCTTTGCCTGTTAGTCTGAAAGACTTTCAAACTAACTTTGAGCAAAGCACAAAGCCAGACATGAATATTTCTGTAAAAAGAAAGGACAGGCCAGATAATAGACGGTATCCATTTAAAAAGAATAAACTGTTCAAGGAACATGGCCTTCATTCAGAGGAGAACATATCAGAATCAATACCTCAGTCTGCTGGTGCTGAATTAGATGAAAACAGTGATGAGTCTCATCCAGGCAAAACATTCAAATGCTGGAACTGTTTGAAGGTCTTCAGGTCAAGTGCAGGTCTACATCGCCATGTAAACATGTACCATAATCCTGAGAAGCCCTATGTTTGTGAGATCTGTCACAAGCGCTTCCACACAAACTTCAAAGTGTGGACACACTGCCAAACTCAGCATGGTGTAATGCAAAATCCAGCATCCTCTAGCACCTCTGTATTAGATGAGAAGTTCCAAAAAAAGCTAATTGATATTGTACGTGAGCGGGAAATAAAGAAAGCTTTGCTTTGGAAGTTGAAGAGAAACAAACAAGGCTTACAGTCCTCTGTACTTGGCAAGAAAAAAACCAGGACCAACTTTATTTGCCCTTACTGCGGAAAAGTATATGTGTTTCAATCTCAGTACAGACAGCACATAAAGAGTCACCTTTTCAGCCACCAAAGAACTGAAAGGACTGAGCAGGAAACTAGAGATGACATGCCTCAAGGAGGAGAGCTGAGCCAGGAGAATAATGCTGACAGTGGAGTTTACTTCTGTAGACTTTGTAATGTAAAGTTGTCTTCTCTCTTTGAACAAGGTGACCATGAGAGGGGCTGTCGACATGCAACAGTGTGCCCTTACTGTGGCCTCAGATTCTCAAGCCCTGTGGTGAAAAAGGACCATGAGACACATTGCAAATACAAGAAACTAACATGCCTGGAATGTATGCGAACCTTCAAATCCTCCTTTAGCATATGGCGTCACCAGGTAGAAGTACATAATCATAATATGATGAGTGCTAAAGACCAGCTCCAGTTAACACATCAGGAAAACCGTCAAGAAGCGATGGATGAAGAGGAAAGGATGTTCGGAGAGGAGCAGTACAGTGGAGTACACATGCACAGTAGCAGTGCCAGGGAGGACATTAGTTACAGTAACTCATCGGGTCAACCCATTTATGATTCGGAAGACTCTTCATCATATGTGCCTGAAGACCTGAGCATGAGCCATCATGGCAAGCTGGTGGTAAAAGAGGAGCCAATAGAAGAGGATGTAAGTGAGAGGGAAAACGCAGACACCAAAGCTGGAGCAGAGGAGCCTGGTGTGTGGCCATGTGAGAAATGTGGAAACTTATTCAGTTCTCGCAAAGACCTGGAACGGCACCAGGAGCTGCTGTGCCACATCAAACCTTTCATCTGCCACATCTGCAACAAGGCCTTTAGGACCAACTTCCGCCTTTGGAGCCACTTCCAGTCTCACATGTCCGCTAATGAACAAGGAGCCAAAGAGATAGAAAGACAGCCCTCCCCTCTGTCCCCCTCCCCTCCTTTAACCCCTCAGAACTCAGAGCGTCCCCCCTCTCAGGCCTCTGTGGTTAAGTCGACACAACCAGTGCCTGTCGCAGCATCAGTGAGTGAGGAGTCTGGGAGCCCAGAGCCCAGTGGCTCTGTGAGTAAGAACAGGAGAGCAGAGTTTGAGCTGCCGCCCACCAGTCCCAGACCTATATCCAGGACAAACAGCCTGGAGAACCCAGCCGGTCCTCAGGAGCCAGACACCCTATTTTATCATGCGCCCTCTCTCTCTGCCCTAACATTCAAGAGGCAGTACATGTGTAAACTCTGCCACAGGACCTTCAAGACTGCCTTTAGTCTGTGGAGCCATGAGCAGAGCCATAGCCACATGTAAAATATGTCTGAAATATACAAAAATACACCTCAGCCTAGAAAGGAAGACTCTGAATGTACAATCTGCCTCTAACATTATTATGAATTTGTCAAGCTTTTTATAGATGTAAAGGTGAATGTGCAATCAAGTGCTAGATTTTTCATGATAGTTTAGTTTGCTTTCAAACTCTTGTTTTAAATCATTTATATCTATAGATTAGACACATTTCATTTTACATGTATTTATCAATATTGACGTGTGACGAAAACAGTAGTCTGGTACTCACCAGTGAAACAGTGCAATTTTTGAAATCAGAGGCTACAGTTACACCCTTGTTTATTTACATGGTGTTTGGAAGTGCTTTATTAATCTTATGCTGTAGCTGAATTTCTTATTAGTGAAGTGCTTGTTGTATCGGAGTAATATCTCTAGGTGTTAATTACATCTTAAAATGTTGTGGCCTGAATACTGTATGCAATATGCACTTATGTTGATCAGTTAAATTGTAGAGTATGTGTAATTGGCTTTAAAACATTTTTGGGTGAATTAGCGCAGCAGATTTTTTCTGTAGTAATTTAGCTATAACCATTTTTGATCTTCTCGATTTATGCAGTGTCCATAAAACTATTTTCACATCAATACCAAATTACTATCAGGTTTTAGGTTAATTTAGCACAGCAAAATATATGTATGTTGATCACCCCAGTTTAAAGTAGTGTAAATATTTACACATCAATAGAGCAGTAAACCATTACCATTGTGTGAGCTTTACAAAACTTGGATTGCCTTATGCAACTTCGACTTTTTCCTTCACTATCATTTCTCTTAAGCACAATGGCCAATAGCATTTAACTCAGGCTTTTACAGGTAAATATAGTTGAAGGAAGAAAGTGTACGTGATTGAATGGACTTATTAAGACTTCGTTATTAAAGATTGTGCTTTGATTGTATTACTTTGTTAACAACTGTATTATTACACAAGTAACAATTCTTATGCTTTGGCTCAAGTTGTTGTTATATACAGTATGTTTCTTTGTATATGATTGTTGCTAGTGTTTTGGACAATTTGAAGAGACAAATGTTTGGATAGTGCTTTTATTTGTGGAAAAAATAATAGTTTCACAACTTGGTTTATGTATATAGAATTGTTTGTATTCTCGTTTTTTCTATAAGGTTTATAAGTAAAATATTGAAGTTTGTTAAGTATTGTGCTTTCATTGCAATAATACTAATTTATACTAGCACTGGTTCATCATAACTGTTGTTTTTTGGACTTGTTTTATGTTCAGGGTTTTTCTACAGCTCTCTGCTCTCTGTAATAAAGTGATATTGATGAGACCTACTTTCAAGCTTGTTTCTACCATTTTATGTTTTTGTCTGGAAAGTATAATGAGTACTTTGGAAGTTGGGACTTTCAACTGGAAAAATACAAACTGGAAATCCTGCCTGCTCAAAGTGTCAGGTCACAGGCTTCATAAAAGTCTAGAGAGGGGAAGCTCATCTAATAGAAAAGGAAATGGTTTGTTATCCATAGTTCTAACATGGAAATGTGAATTATCTTACTTTTTTCTCTACATAGCTTATAATACACATTATAGTTTAAATAAGAAAAAAACCACAAAGTTCAAGTTTAGAATTATGTAATTTAATGCTTCCAAATTAGATTATTATAGAAAAGTAATTACATCACTTTTGTAGGTATGTATGTATTCTATAGGACACATTGCTTTCGACCTATTGGCATAATAGTTAAACAAATGTTTAAAAATCTAATCAAATCTAACTTGATAAATAACACAATCAGGAATAACCATGTTCTTACACAGATTTAAACAAATGTAAAATTTCACCAGGTGCTGATTAGATGTCCAAAATATATACAGCTTTTGCATGGATGTGACCCTACGGTGTCCTCACAAGGCTAAAGTGTCTTTAATAAGCCTTCTCACGGTGGTGCTCACTGAGGTCCCAAGAGAATCTGTGATCTGGTACGTGATTTTGTACAGATATGGCTGAACATCCTTTAGACTGGTGTCGAACACATTGTCAACCTCAGACTGGGTGGGCATCTTTGGCAGATATTCATGTCGGTTAATGACTTCAACCACATTTATGACCTTCTCGCCCAACTTCTCTCCAACTTTCTCCCGACAGATCTGTCTCTCTTGCTCATTGGCCAGGTTGACTACGTTGACCTTGATGCTCCACACCTCCCATGGGATGCACTCATCTGAAAAGGGCCACCGTGACTTCTTCTTCTGGTAAAACTCTAAAGAGATCTGCCCCATGCCATCAGAGCCAGAAACACTCAGAGCATCCTAAGAAAAACATATGACAAGGTTTAATTATGGACATTATGAGCAACAAAACAACTGTAGCCTAATCACTACGTACCTTGAACTCTGACACTGCTTTCCTTATGACTCTATCCAGCTCCTCTGATGAGACTCTGACAAATGTGAAGTCAATAAAGTCGCAGTCTATGTCCTGCGTACCCACAGTCCCAATGGAGTAGGTGCCCTCCTTTTTGTAATGAAATTTTCCTGTGCTACGATGCAGTAATATGGTGTGAAGCAGAGCCAGCATAGACTCTTCTACTTGCCTCGCTTCGACAGTCACTTCGAGGACTTCTGATCGACAATTCATGGTTAAAAATACGTATATATCTACTTTATAACCTAAAGATATAGCTACTTTACGCTAGAAAGATAAATAAACTAATGGCTGCTACTGCTGTGGTGCTAGCTGACGAGCGCTACACGCTTGTTTACCTCTCTTTGTAGGCGTGGTCTATTTAAAACGAAAAAAACAAGTGCACTGGAATATAAACTGATAACTCTTGTGAGCTCCCTGGCCCCATTATAAGCTAAAAGACGAATCACTTCAAAATACTGCAGTTTATGTTGTTAAATGCTGTTAAAATAAAGAAAATGAAGAGGGGGAAAAAAATCATAGGAAAAGCGATGACGAGAGGATTCAGTACGGTGTGCGACGTGGGTCCAACTTCAGTAACGCGCAGACGACCGTAGAGTTATTTTATTATTTAAACCGAAATTGACTAATATATTAATGTTCAATATATAACCTAGTGAAATAAGTAAAATATACAAATTTTTATTTGTGTTTTACCAATAAATATATCATATACCACTGTGTTTATTGGTATCGCAGTGCATTGTGGGACTTACAGTGCCACATATCCTTCTCTAACAAACTGCAACTTTGTACAGTCAGACTCAGCTGCAATGCAAGTGTAGTGGCGATCGCTGCTGCATTTGCTTCATAATGTTTTTGTGGGACTCTTGCTTGGAGTTTGGCTGTCGAAAAATGGAGTCACTTTGGAAATAACGGGATTTTTGTCTAACTTCGGCGGTTTTGCTGTTTTGCAGGACGAATAGCCAGTTTATACGAGTCGTAGTATAGATTAGCCGACTAAGCTAACACCCATTCAGCAGCAGTGTGAGGGGAATGCTCAAATAAGTTTCTTGCATGTTTACTATATTGTCTTTTGTTTATAGTACAGATGCTCACCTCACTATTTAGGACTTTTAAACCACTTTCGCCAAATAAGCGGGCAATATGATGACCCAGAAGTCTTATTTACATCAAGGGTTGTGCTGCTGTCAGCGATGATGGACTGCCTGTGTAGATTAGCTGAACAAATACTATGCTATTGTTGAAGTAATTTGCACAAGGAGGGCGTTTAGCATTGTGATTTCTGAAGAGAATGTCCGAATTGGAAAGTTCAGGCTCATTCTTTGGCTTGGAGGATCCGCAGTGGCTATGCATGGTCACTCTATTCATTGCGTCCCTGATTACACTGTTACTGTATTTTGTACAGTATTTCAAGTTAGGGGGCACCGCGAGAAAATCACCTGCTTTAAAGGACAATGCAGATAAAAGGGAAGAAGCAGAGGCGCTTTTGGGATGGGCGCTGTCATTGAAAAGCTGGAAAAATGTGTGGAGAGCGGCTTGGTGCAGAGCCTTGAATGGCGAATCTAGGAAGTGCAGAGTAAGTAGTCTTATGACCAGCAAACCCCTCTCTACACACAGGCAGGTGACTTCAGTAAACTGTCATAAGATGTACTCAAACAGCGGCAAACAACATCAGTATAGGGCTCAGCAAATGCCTTATCCTTAATCTAAAACAGTACATTTGACACCATCATCGTCACCTACTACTTGCTTGTGTTGCCAGTATAGGATTACACAATGTTTTACTTCAATCCTTTAGCTTCAAGGCATATTTATTTGCCTTTCTGCACCTTAACTTTAATACACACACAAAATCACATGCTATTGATAATTAGTTTGTGCTTCAATGTTTCTGTTTTTTTGTTTCAGAGTCCAGTTGTGTTCACTTTCGAGGAAGATGCTCTTGAAGCCTCTGAACTTGTGGTCAGTCAAGTGACTAATTTTCAGAAGTCCCTCAATCATAAGGTACATGTTTTAGTCTTTATTTTTGTTAATACAAGTTTTAATGGGTTTCGGTTATGGATCTATAATATGACCTTATTATACTTTCATGGTTTCAGTTCTTTGTTGTGTTGGCAGCCATCGAAGCTGTTTACAGTTTCCTAAATGCTAGCTCAGCTTTTTCTTTGTTATGATTGCAATATGGACAAAAATACCAGGTGCACTGTAGCTGAATGCAGGGTGCAATAGGCTTATTTTCACTCCGAGGCTCTGTGTGTGTTCATTATAAGAAGCTTACCTGGCTGTCAATCTCCATGTAAGGAAGGGCAGTGAGAGCTGTGGACTACTGCATGAGCAGATGTGTAGATATGCTCTCATGTGTTGAAAAAACATTTTTCTTTGTGGAGTATCCAAGTTATGATATTCAAATCAATCATATCAAGCCAACAGAAATGTGTTAAAACATGTGAAATGATAGCATTACCCACAAAAGTGCAGAGATATAACTTTATAGCCCTGTTTGGAATCTTCATAACATTTTTTTTTGCAGCATTCTTTTCTTTATTAAAAACAATATACTAAATTTTTTCCATTCACATTATTATATATTTTTGGATTATCTGACCACCTCTACTCTCACATCAACCTAATGCCACACTAGACTCATCCTGTAATTAAGATGGTATTTTCTCCACTTATCATCAAACCTGCAGTCTTGGCTTTATATTTTGCTGTTGGAAGCAGAAACGTTGAGTACTTTAAACATAGAAGAATTTGCCAAACATTGATTTTTTTAATGCACCTTTCAGCATACTGTGTAGTCTCTTTATCTTCATGTCTTTTTTTCTTATTTGAATGGCTGCTGTGATTCATGCTCTACTCTGGCTCTATTCAAATACCTTGGACAGGATTTACATGTGTGTAAGTCTAAGCGTCACTCTTTCTTTCCCAACAGGCTGCTTGCTGCAGGATGGTCGCGGAAAAGCTTCAGTTCTGTGTCAGCGCAGCATCCACAAACTCTGCTGCATCGCCTCCTTGTAAATACACAGTGTGCATAGAGCCACTGGAGATACAGGTAAATGTACTCAAAGCCTGAAAGCAATACATCAGCTTTTAAAGGGCCTATATTACTCTATTTTTAGGTCTATGTTATAATGTTTCCTCATCACAAACATACCTGGAGTTGCGTTTTGTTTCATTCACACATGTTTAACACACTAACTCTGCATATGTAGGCTGAGTTCTTCTCTCAAACAGAAAACACTCCGTTCCATCTTGTGTGGTAATACCGGAAGTGCTCCACTGTGCTTCATCAACAGTCTGTTCTGAACTAAAGGTAAAGGGCAGCTGTTAACCTGAAAACCACCGCTACATTACATCACAAGGTTGAACAGAGGATTACTCAAACATGTGTGAATGAAACAAAACATAACTCCAGGTATGTTTTTGAATAGGTAACAGCATTATAATATAATTTAAAGTTCACAAGAGTCAATTTTGTGTAATTGGGGCCTTTAACACACAATACATTTTATACTTTATACATTACACCCAAAAGACAGAGCTGTTTTCCCTTTGCAAATAACCACCCCTATCTCCAACTGAGCACTTGTTTTTGAAAATCTTTCTATGAACCCACACAGCACTCCTTATCCTTTTTATTCTTGGTAAGTCTCATCTGCATTTTTTATTAGAGATGAGTTATCGGCTGTTTGTTGTTTTCCCCAGACATTGTTATTGGTCTAATATTGAACATTTGGCACCAGTATTTTTTCTGCCCTGCTTTAATATCTGTGTTATTCCTGATTTGTCTTGCATCAGATTTTTTCACCACAGACAATAATCAACAGATCACTGAGTGAAAGTGTCGCTGTATGTTTACACAATCATGCAACAAATGATTTTATGACTTTGATCCCAGATAAATACATTTTGTTATTATTTTTAGTTAATTTGATTTGTCAGCTTTACTGTAAATTAACATAAATGTGTGGTTTTTGCTATGGATTTTAAAAGCTTAATATCTGCACCTGCAAATATTGGATATTGCTATCTGCTTAAAAAAATCCACACCAGACCATCCGTAGTTTTTATTGTACTCTGTGTACTGTCCAACATGACCTCATTCCTGGCATAAGTTCTACATCAAAGTATTTCTGTCTCTCTGTGTACAAACGGAATAGTAAATCAATGGTTTATTTTTAAGAGCCTAACCTTGTAATCAAGACTAAAGAGGCTCTAATTATGCAACAGATGGATAATCACAGCTAATTCCCAGTAATCAATCATATTTTGAAAGAATGAATTCAATGCTGGTCTCTTCTCAAATTATCTTGACATAGTGAAGGATTATTAACCTGCACTAAGACAGGATCTGTGGATAGGAGGCTATGTTGTAATTGATAGTATTAGCATTGCCAGTTAAGCCAATTGTATTACCTCTATTTTTAGACAATAAGTACTTGTCCAGGCATCCAAGCTCATTGCCATAAATACAATGGAAGTGATGGGTCAAAGGTGGATTTAAAGTGGAAGTGTTCTGTTTTTGTCAGGGTTCTGTAATTGTTGCAGGCTCATAATAGAGGACTTGTTTTGGCTTTTCAGGCCAGCTTTGTTTGGTCCAGTCTGGAAAAAATCAGAAGGTTCTTTCAAATGTCTCCATCTATTCATTTAAAACGACAACAGTCTGAAATGCCTCATGTGTTTAGGAAGGGTCTGGGTGGACAGTATATTCCATAAACATGTTAAATGACCCAATGAGGGCAGCCAGGGATGGGTGATGTGGTTGAATACAGGGCCTACTGTCAAATGTACTGTGTAATAGGCCATAGTTATCATTTAACTGCTCTTCATTCATATAGACCCCAGTAAAATGTCTTTCTGACCCATATTTCTATTTCTAATGAAAAAGATAAGCCACCAAACATTAAAGACATGCTGAACACGCAAATATTTGTTTGTTGTCAGCTGACCCAACCATCTTTATAAATAATTATTTATAGTATTGGTGAATATTACTAAAATAGACTTAGACAAACTTTATGGATCAAAAGGGAAATTATTTGGACACAATTGCTCACACATCACAATGTATTATTAAGCAAAGACTAACAATATAAATGTATTTAAAATATAATGTAACTGTGGTTAATTTAGATTCTAGATGATTGAATCATTACAAATACAGTTTCATTTTAACACATTTTCCAGTGTTCTTCCTTCCCTTGGCCCTGTTCATGAATCATTTTCCTGGAAGATTCACCTGAGCATGGATACCGATAAGACCATTGTTTGGAATCTAGACACGCTGTGACATGATCACCCAGTTCATTGAATTGTTTGGTTGGCTTTTAACAAGTAAACTTCACCCTTTTGTCACTTATTATTATGACTTTTGAAAGCAGAGTTTTATGTTGTGTTACTTCAGTTCTTTTCCACCGTGTATTTTGTGTATGTTGTAATTGATGTAAACATTAGTCTGATGCACTTCAGGAGGCTAAGCTTGTAAAATATTTATTCACTGAACCCCACAACCTGGTGCATAATAACCACTTCAATCCAAGACATTATCCACACAAGAGAGTATCATGTTTTTACTCTCTCTTCCTGTGTTCAGTCATTCCGAAGTTGGTTGCATAATTTGAGAGGAGACTATTTAGACATATGCTTGCTCACCGTGTATCAGCACAAACTAAAGAAGCATCATATTACGCCTTTTATCATGTGAAACTGAGACTATGCAACAAGCATATGAGACAAACATCAGGGGTTTTCCTCATGTTTTATCTCCATGGGAATTTGCTTTGGTGATATGGTGCTGCAGTATTAAACAATGAAAAATAACAGAATATATATGAGTTATTATAATTAGTAAAATCATGGAGAAAATTAGTTGTTAGAATTAGAGCTGCAAGATTAATCGCAATCGAATGGAAATCGGTATTTGAATGGAAACAATTAGCAAATCACAAAGGCTGAAATTTTTTTAAGTACCGTGATTTCTTCCACAAACAAAAAATATCTAAAAAATGCTAACCTGTCGTAAAATCTGTAAAAACATGTTCTGAATTTTTTTTTTTATCTGTTATTTTTGTATTGTTTTGTATTTATTTTGTTACTTCTTCTGAATCTTCTGAACAGAATCCTATAGTTAAAATATAAATTGCAAATCATTCAGCCCTGGAAAAATACATAGAAAAATGTATTCAGATACAGGATATGCATATATACATGTTTTTAACCACAGGATATCCACTATAAAAATTACTCACACCATAAACCAATGTTTGTTTTTATGTTGTTTAGCTTGACCTTTTGATGAAGGAGACTGAAGGTGAGATCCAGGTTACATGGGGTATTTCCCAGTTGGACTCCGGTGAGCTGCAGCTGAAACTAGTCCCCAATCAGGTAAGTATTCAGCCTGCCTTTTGAAATAAACATCCATTTTCCGGTTCTGTTCATTAAGTTCCTCTCTTCACAGGGCATTCCTGGGCCCTGCAGTCTAAACATTGTGAAGGAGCAGTTGTATCAGTTGTTGTGCGGGACTCATCCCTCTGTTTCTCTGAGCTCAGAGGTTAAGGTGTGTACACAGGTTTGGTGCTTGTTTATTTTATGTTGATCTGTCTCAAAAGATGAAAAAATATCACCTTATGACAGACCCTGATCAAAAATAAAATCTCAGGAACGGCTTTTAATTTAATTTTATTTAATGATGTGGTCTTTTGGTACCACATAGCTGATAGATATCATTATAATTTTTTTCTCTTTTTGGAAACTCTGAAAAAATTAATGACACATTTACTTCTGAAAACAATGGGAGGACAGTCACAATGGAGCTCTAGTAATAAGCTCCCTAGTAATAAACTATTACATACTCTTTAATGTCTAAAGATTTTGTTCATTATAAACTGCAATACTGAATGTGAAATACTCTCACTCTCCATAGTGGCATTTTACTGTTCCAAGCAGCAAATTTATATTTATGGTGTATAAAAAATGGCTATGCAACATATATTGTATCTGACATCTGTGCTAGACCAGAGTCTGAGATTTTCTGAGCACTCAAGCACCGAATGTAGGACCATACAGGACTACTCAAACATGCATTGATTGTAACATATTACATTATATATTTCCCATCTTGTTAACATTTGGTGTCATGTAAAATTATCTCTTATGTACATAAGTGTAATAATTACTAAAGGATTTTTTGTATTTAACTATTGCCTCTTTTTTTCCACAGGATCTTCATAACAAAGCGTCATCACCTCCTAAACCTCCCCGTGCCCATGACTGGAAACTTCTGGTGAAAAATATTCATGCAACGTGCAATGAGGATGTGAATGCTGCTGGTACTTTGTTATTTTTTTATTTAACATTTGTAACTTTTGAATTTCAAACAAGAATCAAAAGTGTTGTGAACATTTTCTAAATGAATTTGTCCTTGTTTCTTCAGGCAGCATAAACCCTCTGTGTGTACTACACTTAGATGACCCTCCTCAGAAGTTCTGCACGTCAGCTCTCAAAAACACCACTAATGCCACTTGGGAACAGCCATTTATTTTGTAAGTGCGTGTGTGTGCGTTTTTATTAACAGCATTTGCAATATTAATTTAAATTCTGATCATACATTTTTCTTATTCCAGTGAGCTAAATGGACGATCAAAGGAGCTCAAAATTCAGGTGGTGAATGATGGGCAACCTCAAGAGTGTAAGACATGTCTGCAAATTGTTATTCTGTGGTCCTGGGCCTCCATTGCAAAGCTCTGTTGCTTTGTTGTTGCACATTTCAATAAGGCAGCAACAACTAAACTGATTATGCCAGTAATCCATTAGTCACAGCTAATTAACAACTAATGTTATTGTAAAGTGCGGTATGGAGTCTGGATTTTAAAAAGATTATAACCGCCTTTGTGATTTAAAAAAAAGACAACATGTATATCTATTAACTTGAAATAATAGAAAAAAATCACGTGTGACTTTTTAGACTGGTACATTTTGGTGCTGAGGTCCTATCCAAGCTATAGGACGTATATATGATTGATGTCTAATATATTTTGCTTGTGGTGTATAGATAATCTGTTATTCACTTTCTTCACCAGCCTCATTGCTGGGCCAGGTGTCAGTGCCTTTTGATCTTGTGAAGAAGCAGCCCAAAGGACAGCAAACATTTGCACTCAAGACCAAAGATGTAGTGACTGGATCACTAACTACTGAAGTGAGGACTTTCAAGTTATCTTTATTTACATTCTGTATTATACTATACATTTTTAAAAATAATTTTATAACTATTGTTCTTCGCTTCTTTCTTCTTCTCTATTATTATTTTTCCTTCCTTTTAATAACACTTGTTACTGTTGTCTTTCCTAGTTTACTTACCTGGAGCCCAGTGAGGTGAGGTCCTGGCAGCCCCCAACCCCAGCTTCCACTAAGAGAGTGGAGATGGACCGCACAGTGATGCCCTGTGGCACAGTGGTCACCACCATCACTGCAGTTAAGAGCAAGCCTGGGCGGCCACTGCCTGTGGGACTCAGCATAGGTGAATATTGTCTCTTGAATTCAAACAGGTCAGGGGTACATCTTCCATTGTTCCATAAAAATATTTTCTTTCCTCAGACACTTCTCAGAAACTTTTAACCACCAAGCCCAAGTTATCTGAGCGGCGTGTTTCGGAGCAGTCTTCTGTGGTGGGAAACATTGTGAGTAAAGCCCTGTCCTCGTCAGACACTGAGCTGCTGATGCTGAACGGCACAGACCCTGTGGCTGAGGCAGCCATTCGACAGCTTCACCAGTCCGCCAAACAGAAACTCAAGTCACCCGTGAAGAAGAGCACTATCATTATTTCCGGCATTGCAAAGGTACCACCAATCATTTTTACTGTCTGTTAATGTCTATGACAGTTAGTCTTGTCATTTAAACCTTTCACCTCTTTGTATTTCAGACCCCGGTGTCTCAGGACGATGAGCTTGCGCTGATGGTGGGCTATGCTGCTGCTATGGATGCCTCCATGTCAGAGGGCAGCTCCAGTCAGGATGTAACCACGGCGATAGCATCAGGGTCCCTCAGCCCCCCCCGATGAAACTAATGCCCAGGAGGGCCCCAGTGGGGTGGGCCGGCCTCCAGACGACTGGGAGAGCAATACAGGAGAAGAGCTGGATAATACCTCACTGTCCATGTGTGTGTCTGAGGCCAACTGTAAGAAGAGCAGAGGTGAGGGTTTGTCTCTGGTCTTAGGTCAGAGATCTACTGACACACTTGTATTCACTGCTGGAGGTTGTAACATAACATATTACTAGAGGCATAATTTTACAGAATCTGTGCTTGGCTCGTTTCACAGCCATCTGTTGCCTCTCAGTGATGCAGTCTGTTTCTGTTTTCTCTCCTGCTATTTGAACCTTTTTGTTTTTGAACTCTGCCAACTTAGAGGAAAGCGGTGCTAAGCACTCATTATGTCCACATGAGTAAGTCTTTCATAAGCACTTATCAATAATGCTTCCTGTAGACTTTGCTAGATGTAGAAAGCAGTACTACTATAGTTGTCATTGTTGAGAGCTGTAGAACCCCACCGGACAAACCCACTGAACTCATCATCTAGTATGAAAAACATCCTCAAGATTTATTGCATGTTATGCTTGATAAAATTACAGAATACTTACATTTGGGTTTAATTGACCAGTGTTCTTTGTTCAGTTTGTAGATCCAAAAGCTGTTATCTCACTATAAAACCAGGTTTGACTTAGTACACTGCTCAGTTGGTGTAATCCACTATGTGTTAGCTGGTGATTAATCTGCTCTCTATTTAATTCTGCAAAACTATTTCCACTGAAATTACTTATAATTACCATCTAACACAATGTTCTTCGCACTGCTTTTGTTTAGATTTTAGCTGTGCTTTTTCCGTTAATGATAATCTGAATTTAACAGTATTCTTTCCTAATTTTTCAGCCAGCTTCCTCCAGAAAGGTGCGAGGCTGTTCTTTCGGAGGCGTCACCAGAGGAAGGAGCCGGGCATGAGCCAGTCCCATAACGACCTGGTATTTTTGGAGTCTCCCGCTTCAGTGGAGAGGGCCAGTCGAACAGCCACCCTCAGCCGAATGCTCCACCGCAAGAGTAAACACAAGAGCAAAGCTAATGGGTCTACCTCCACAGGGGAAGGCCATACCTGACCCCAGTGACCCCAAACCCCCCAACACCTCCCTCCCCCTAGACAAGGCTTCCAGTAACTCATGTACAGTTGACTTTCCTGCTCCATCAACTGCCTGTGCATACCAGACCTGTAGCATTGTGAATGAGGAAATACAAAAGGAAAATATTCTCTTTGTTGCCATGTGCTTTTGATAAGAGTCCTAACTTCATCCCAATAACAAGTGGATGAATTACTCTTATTTTCTTGCAACAAAAGAGGGTATTATTTTGCATGTTCCTTTTGCTTGATCTTATGCAACCTTTTGAAAACACGCTTTGTGGCCTTGTTACTGAGAGAAAGAACTGTACTGGGCTGTGATTCCTGACCTCTTTATTTGTGGAAGACAAAGTTGACTTTTTTTTTTTTTTTTTTTTTTGCTGGAACGAGGAAACTGTAATTTTCTTTACAGTGGACCAAAGATGAAGAAAGGAGTGGTGTGGTGAATGATTTGCACACTTCACGTCCTTAGATATTCAGTGCATTGACCAGAGCTACTCTTCAGATAAGGCCTCTTTTGTTTCTCATGAATTCTGAAAGGGAAGTGTGTGCATGACTAGTCAAAATAGGTCCATTACTGCTTTTCAACACTAATAATATCTGGACTCATGTAATATTTTTTTTATTTATTTGTTATTTTTTACACTCAAAGATAATCAAAATAACAACTGTATGTCCATATGAAACTGTTATGAGTTTAACAGTCAGGAGTCCTACATTTTCAAATGATATCTGTTAGTGCAAACACTGTTGTAAGCCTTAGTATAATTTTACCTTGGTCTGCAGTGTTTTTGAATAATATGCAATTTCTTATGTCTTGTATTGCTCCTGTACACTACTGTTATCAGCAGGGATGTTAACGTGTCAAAGGGAACTACCGGATCCTTTGTCCAGGGACTGTGATGTAACTTGGCCATATTTAACTGCATTATGCACTCATGAAGCTTATGGTTGTATGTCCAAGTCTTTTCAACACAGGGGTGGGCGATATGCACAAAAAAATTGGAAAAAAAATATATATATATAAATTTTTTTTTTTTGAGCCAGTCAGATCACAACTTGTCTTTAAAGGTGCACTGTGTAACTTTTCTGGTAAGGGGTCCGCTACCTGCTTAACTCCATGTTGTTTTTTCCTGAAATGTTTTACAGTATGGCATTTAAGTTAACTATCTTCATGGAGACAAGAAGGCCACATCACCAGGCCAAGTTACAGGTCCAATCTGTGGAGAAATGGGCCAGATCACAGAAATAATACATGTTTTGCAGTAGTTTTGAGGAGTGAAAACTCTAGTAACTGATTAAATACAAGATACCAAGATATATTAAATCAGAGGCAAAGCAATAACATTACTGTGGGCACCCTAGCAGACCCTCCACCAGAAAAGTTACACAGTGCACCTTTTAAGTGTTAGCCATTTGCTTGTACTGAGAGTTCGTACTTCGCTATGATTGATTAATTCCACCTGTCACTCAGAGCGTTAGGAAGGTTGACTATATAAGGAGGACTTGGTGTATTTGAGCATTAAACTGTAACTGCATTAAACAGGTAAGCAGTGAATCACATTTTGACTAAATAACACCAAAACATATTGTCATATGGATGAGATCACAATAAAATTTCTATCCATATCGCCCAGCCCTACTTCAGCATTGATTCATTTCGACTGTTAGAACAGATGTTGCTTTGAACATCACCGTAGGAAAAGGTCGGAGTGAAGTGCAGCCAAAATACTGAGGGTGCTTTTATATCCAGCGAATGATTGTATTTTAGTTTTCTGAGCAGCTTGTTTAAGATGTTTCTTCACTACTGTTTGTAAAATAAGAGGAAATCATTTTGCAGCAGCAGTGGGGAGACCGCACTGTGACAGAATTTAACAGAATGCCTTGTTATTCGTGTTAGAAAGAAGTAGATTCAGTGGTTTCTCCTGTGCCAGATGTTGCTCACAGAAGACTTACAGTAAAACTGGTTAATAATGCAGTGACATTATCAGCTGTGTATGTCAATAATCAAGAAGCCTATGCACATAACATATCTTAGAGTGTTTACATGAAACTATCTAAAATAAAGATATGGTGTTCAGGACAGTACGTACATGTAATCAGGCTTTTGATTTTGTTTGTGTGATCTCCACTCACAATAATGACTTAGACACACGATATTTTCAAATGCTATACAAGTTGCTTTACCAATAAAGGGGAAATATGATCCATAATTGACCTTTATGAGCTTTTAACCATGTTGTAATGCTTTTTCCTCATTTGCTTATACAATAATACAATCAAATACAAGTTGTACTTAAACTGATTCATGCATGTTTGAATAATCGTGTAACGTCATGCATTTGAGGCTTGGGTTTTCTCATGGCCACCCACTTCTCTGTACTTGCGATTATTCAAAAATATAAAATTCTCGGACAAATGTTAAAAAAAGTCGCATAAAAAAATTAAAAGTAATATGTAAATTGCAGTTTGATAGTAAATACCCCCAAAAAGCATATTGGATCTCCTTTTAAAGGTGTGCCTATAAATGCAAATACACCTGTAATTTTAATAATTATTATTTTATCAGTGTATTCCTCCCTGCAAAGTGTGGTATAGTATTATGATATATTTATATGTTTAAATGCACATACAGAAGTCAGAGTTTGTTTCACTTTCCCCCCACTGCATTGCTGTAACACTTGCTCAAGCGCCTACAACTCCCATAATTCCGTGGGCGAGGTTGGTTTCCGGTCCTGCGCCGTTTCTGGAGCGGATTGGAACCCGGAGTCAGGACTCGATAAATGAAGGGTCTTTTGCAGAAAAGGTAACACGTTTCTCTAAAAACATACGCCACAGTTAGCTCAAATGGCGGCGCCGATATGTTGAAAAGTTGCAGCCGGTTTGAATGCCTCGGTTTGCGCGGCTTACGGGCCTGTGGCCGCGGCGTGGGGGGACTGATCAACCCTGACTCCCGTTTGGTGTTGTGCGTCTCCAGTCCATCCGCCATGCCGACTGTTCTTTGTTACAGTCGCCAAAGAGGAGCTGCTCAGATCGGAGTTAAAACCCGGCTAGAGTTTGGGAGCGGCTGAAATCCCGGATCTCATCTCATAGCTGGACTGCAGTTTGAGAAAGGATGACTCAAGTCCAAACTGCATAGGCTACTTGGTGTTTTAACATTGTAATTCAACACATGTGATAGTGAATTCCCGCTCTATTTTGACCAATGACATGAAACGGTGTAGTTAATCTCATAGCATGGTATAGAATGGTATGGTTTCACTTGTACAGGAACAGTGCACAACATTAGATCACCCAAGACAAAAGTCATAGGAAAGATGCTGATGCCAGGTTATAGCATGAATGCTAATCTGCACCTGTAGTTCAACAGCAGGTTGGAGCAAATACTGCAGAAATAGTCATTAAAGTATAAGAGTAGGCTGCCCTTACATTACACTTTATTTTTGTTATGCATGCCTTTATTTTAATTATCATCATTTATATTTTGTACCATTATTAGGCCTAATCATTGTTTTATGTTGCACCATATACATGATGCAAGTTCCTAGTTGGGGAATTTTGTTTGTTTGTGCACTAGCCATGGCAATAAAACTTTCTCATTCTGATAAAATCAAGTTTAGTAAAGGGCATATATTACATAATGACTTCTGTGAGCTTTAAGCCATGTCAGAATGTTTTTACCTTCTCAAAAACATACCTGTATTTGAGTTTTGTTTCATTTTCACATGTTTGAGTAATCCTTTATTATTAGTTTGTCCACATCTCCAAAGATCAAAATGCTCTGTTCAACTTTGTGATGCCATGAAGCAGTAGTTTTCAAGTGAACTGCTACCTTTTATCTTTAGTTCAGTAGAGATTAACAATTCCAGGTCTGAAATCATCCAAATGAAGTTTAAAAAACGTGTATAACCACATATCACAAGGTGGAACAGGTGGGAGTGTTTTCTGTTTGAGAGGACTAAAAGACAGGATTTCTGTGTTAAAAGTGTAAATGAAACAAAACACAACTCCTGGTATGTTTGTGATGAGGAAGCAACAGAATAACATAGACCAAAAAGTAGCGTAATATGGGTCCTTTCCTTCCTCCTTTAAGGTTTATTTATAAGATCAACATTTTGATTGTTGTTGTCACGGAAATTTCATTAATCCATTCTGTTCCCAGGTTTTAGGTTGGCACAATGGCTGATCCAACACCAGATGAGTTTGTCTGTAAGTATGGCCCATGTACATTATAATATGTAGAGGGGCTTTTTGTTTGAGCTGCTGTTGCTGACGTTGTGTTGCAGGGTGTGATGACTGTGGACAGTACCATGACTCGGAGTGTCCTGAACTGGGGCCCCTAGTGACTGTACAGGACTCTTTTGTACTCAGCAGAGCGAGGTAAATCCCCCCTTCCAGTATTTACACAATTATTCACATCTAAAGATTAAACATTATCTTGGACCTTATATATTTTCCGTCCACTTAAAATGCTTTTTGCTGTTGATAAGCATACTCTAAATTCCTAATGTCTGGTCAAGTGTAACTGACACAAATCTCTAACTACACACTGGATAAAACCATCAAGTTGGCTTGCATGTTACACACTGTCTAACATTTCTATTTTCTATACACCATTTATTTGTCTCCATGGTTATGTTATTTCTTTCCGTAGAATATTCTACATTTCCATATTTGATACTTTTACCTGAGTATCTTTTGCGCCTGTATCTGTACTTTTAATTGAGTAACAAAATTGGGGACTTCATCCACCACTGGTAATATGTTTATTTATTTATTTTTCTTTAGGTCCTCCTTACCGAACAGTTTGGAGATCAGAGAAGTGAAGACCGGAGAAGAGGGAGTTTTTGTACTACGACGCCTTGTCAAGAGAACACGATTTGGACCCTTTGAGGCTAAAAGAGTCTCCCATTTACAAAGAGAGGGGACATTTCCTCTTAAGGTGGTTTCCTTTTTCTGCAACAAGGACAAATCTTTTCCTGCTGTATTATTTCCTATTGTTTCAAGGGCTGAATGATTAGAGAAAAATATCTCATTATGATTTTCCTGATGAACATTGTGATTAGATTGTGATTTATGTTTTAAAGGTGCATTGTGTAACTTTTCTGGTAGAGGCTCCATCACATACTTGTTTCATTCGGTCCGTCACCTACTTGAGATGTCATTGTTTTGCCTGGAATGTCCCAAACAGCTCTACCTTGACATTTATTAAATTACAGGTGGTTTTATTTATAACTCAAAATTACACACAAAACATTCATTCAGACTGTGAGTGGGGTTGCTCTTCCGCAGATCTGACCTGTAACTTGGTCTGGTTTGGTCTCCGTGAAGATAGAAAGGGTTAATATCATTATGTGAAACACTACAGACAAAGCAATAACATCTCCATGGAGAAAAGCTTTTGACAGACTTTCCACTAAAAAGTTACACAATTCACCTTTTAATAATAGGATTCTGTTCAAAGTTCCAATTTTAAACATGTCCAGAAGAATTGATAAATCACTTTCAGAACATGTTTGCACAGATCTCAACTACATGGTTAGTAGTATGTATGCAGAAATAAGATTTTGTTGTTTGTGGAGGATATTATAATACTTTGAAAATTGCAGGTTTTGCCATTTTCTAATTGTGTCCATTCAAATAGAAATTTCAGTGAGATTGCAGTTAATCTTGCAGCTCTAACTGTTACTTTCTCTCACTGATCAGGTTTTTCAAAAAGATGGCACTGTGGTGTGTTTTAACACCAGCAATGAGGAGGACTGTAATTGGATGATGCTCGTGAGACCTGCCACAGACCACAGTCATCAGAATCTGACAGCGTATCAACAAGATGACGATGTGTACTTCAACACCTCACAAGTATGCTAAGATAATCAATCATAATTAATCAATAGATGTGAACTGCTTTGTGACTATATTAGACGTTACATACATGTTTTTGATTTTGAATTAAATGGAGGGCAGGTTTGTATGTAACTCTATGGGAGATTCACTAAAAGAAATGTCCCAACTTGTTATTCTCAAATGTTGCTCTTATCATTGTTATTTGTTTGGGATTGGCTTCACAAACTTGCCATTATTAAACTTAAGGCTTAAAGTCTTTTTAATTGACAATAATCAGTGTTTAGGGTTTAATAACAGCACTGCACTGTGAAGCATTTGACTTTTGTTTATTTATGTTGACAGAGAAGACATGGAAATTTGTGTTTTTTTGTGTTTTTGTTACATGTGGACAGGCCCGGTAATTAGAAACATATTGGCCATAAACCAGATCAACCAATCTACAGTCTGACAGTTTAACAGCAAATTTGTAGACTTCTGACCTGTCCTTCAGCTCTGTTTTAAACTACAGTGGTCCTAGTATATTGTGAAATCTCATGAACTTGATGATGTGGTTCCTAGGATGTCCTACCAGGTACTGAGCTGCGAGTATGGTACGGTGCCTTTTACGCTAAGAAGATGGAGAAACCAATGTTAAAACCTCCACTTCAACCTCCCTTACCTCCATCAGGTCTGTTTACATATCTTACACTATGAAACCTATATATATTTAAAGATTTTGTTATAATAAAAACTAACTGTCCATAAACATTTGATTTTAGAGAAAACTGGACCCAAATTGCTGACAGATGTTGAAGAGCACAATTCAAGTAGGTTCTGTGTTAGACATTTCTTGATTCATGATTCTTACAACTGTACAACTGTTATTATTAAAGTTTCACAATGTAACTTTCTGGTAGAGGGTCAGTTGTCCACTTGTCTCCATAGAAATGTTATTACTTTGTTTGGAATGTTCCACAGTATAGCATCGATCTCCTCTATCTTGCACTTATCTTATTTAATTAGATGTCATTTTACAGCTAAAGAATATCTTCAAAGCATGCATTCTAATTGTATGCAGGGTCACCTCTCCACAGATCTGGCCTGTAACTTGCCCCAGAGTCTCCATGGAGATAAACAAATGAATACTGTGGAACATAGCAATCCAATCCACTTTATTTATATAGCATAGTTCACCAACAAAACTGTTTCACAACACCAGGTAAAGCAATAGCATTTCCATAGAGACAAGCAGGTGGAGGACCCTCCCTCAAAAAATGACATAGTGCATCTTTAATTATTAACTTTTTCGTTTTCTTTTCACAGATGATGTAAAAATGGTGCTTCCAATCGACCCACAAGAAGACAGTCACGTTTTTCCAGAGGTGGATGCAGGTCCCCCTTCTGCTCCACGCACACAGAAGAAAGGTCCCGTCCGGGGGAGAAGAAACAGAGGGCGCAGACCCACCATCTCTACCACTGCAAACAAAAGCAAAGGTAGGATATGTTCTGAGTAAGGCAGTATCTCATCAACAAGTACTTTCATGTTACAAAAATTAAAGTGTGTTTTCTGTTTGAGAGGGTTTTTGTGTTAAACGTGAGTGAATGAAACAAACCACAACTCCAGCCATGTTTCAATGAGAACATAGAATAGAAAATAACATAATATGGGACCTTCAACAAAATTGATGAATAAACATATGCTCAACAATTATTACATGTACCTTTTATTTGCACTGGAATTGATGTTTTTCTTATTCTTTATAGGATTAAGCCTATGATAATATTTGAGCTGTAGTTGGTCAAATGATTAACTGATCTCTGCTATTTACTGCTGACACACACATTACAATATCAGTCTCTACAATTTTTTTTTTTACTGGAATTATCCTGTTTTAGAATTATTATTGTCAGTGGTACAAAGTATTGTTTTACTGTATTCACTGTACTGAAATCATTTCTCTGTCTCTCTTGCCATAAATACAGTTTCAAAGCCAATAAAACACAGTTCCGTTTTGGAGGAAACTGAAACTACACCAGAAATGGCACCAATTGAAAGCATTGTCCCAGCCCACGACACAGAGTCTGAGCCGGTCATCAAAAGGCCCAAACTTCGAGACCAAAAGAAGGTGTACCGCTGCTCCTTGTGCAGCAAGATCTTCCAAAACAGCAGCAATCTGAACAGACACATCCGCTCCCATGGTGAGACAGACACATGACATATAGAAACATAATGAAGACAATATAATATATATTTATATGTTATATTTTAGGGGACAAGCTCTTTAAATGTGACGACTGTGACAAGTTATTTAGCCGCAAAGAAAGCCTGAAGCAGCACATCTCTTATAAGCACAGCAAGACAATGGTAGGTACCTCTTCAAAGGAAGTTTTGTTTTAGTGCCTGTTTAATGTGTATAATGTGTTTACTGTTCACCAGCCTGATCTGGAGTACAAATATAAGTGCAACACCTGTGAGAAATCCTTTCGTCTAGAAAATGCCTTGAAATTTCACAACTGCAGAACAGGTAAATACTAATAAATAATAACAATAAACTTTAAGAGTGTTTTCACACTGACACTAGTTAGGTTCATGTAGCTAGAAGAGTGTTCAATCCGAGAGGGTCATGAACATGACGGCCACATTCTGGAAAGTATTTAACGGCCTGAAACAGGTTCCTGTCACACTCTTAAAGTGAGTGCAGTTTGGAAGTGGCCAGCCCCAGACTGGAATGTGCAGTTCACGGTGCAAGTTATAGTGCTTGAAATGGGTTCAAAAGTGCTTGTATCACTTATATTTTTTATGAATGGGCATTTCAGAGCTAGCAGTTTGAAACATTCGTCTAACAAGGTGAACTGGAACTTAATATCAACAACACTTCTCCTGACTCTGTCTGGACATTTAAGCCGTGGTCTGTGGGCTGTTCTGCTCCACCAGCGTGCATAGTCCTCATGGTACATTTAGCCACACATGAAAGAAAGACCACTGCGAGCAGCCCCAGGGAAGAGTGTTTTCATGAAGCCGGTTGTCATGGAAATAACTTATGGTGGTCAGCTGATCTCCTCTCATGTGGCTCATTTGGCTCATGGGGCGGCTGACCCAACAGTGAAGTTAAAGCTAGTGTGCACTACAACTGCTCCACAGAGTGCAGTAATGTGTGAAAACTCCCTTAAACATATATGTACTATGAAACAGCCAAACAAGGTTGAAATATCTCCTCCGTTTAGAGATATTTAAGGCAGCCCCTTACCAGGGCCCTGCAAAACTGAAGAAGCTACTTAAATGTGTGCCAATTTCAACTTTCTTTTGATTTGGACCTTAACAGAACTTTTATTTTTATTTTTCCAGATGACAAGACTTTCCAGTGTGACATCTGCTCGCGGTTCTTCTCCACCAACAGTAACCTGTCCAAGCACAAGAAAAAACATGGAGACAAACTTTACTCTTGTGAGATCTGCAACAAGATGTTTTACCGCAAAGATGTGATGCTCGAACACCACCGGAGACACGGTGTGGGTGAGGCTGCTTTTCATCTACCTGTACTCCTATTTTTGTCATTGTCATATTTTTGCTGACTAAAACGATTAAAAGATTAAAACAAGATAAAAAGTAATCATAAAGACTAAAACTAAGACTGCATTACACACATTTTTGTCAACTTATAACTTAAAGTACTGTAGACATTATTGCAGACTAAATAAAAAAACAATTATTTCAATTAATCTTAAAATGTTTTGACAAATGAACACGTGTTTGAATATAAAGAGTTTTAAAGCATTTAGACATTTAGACAAATTAGATGGACATATTATAAATGTTTAGGAATGTAATGAAACTGCTATATTTTATTCAGATGAAAAAAATAATAACACTGCCAGATCTTAAAATGAGATGCTGTATTATTTGGTATAACACCATCTTCTGGTAATGAAGATCTATTAGTCAATATTTGTTAATTCAGTTAAAGGCGGTCTGTGTCTGGCAGAGGGTCAATTATTTGCAACTGCTCGTTTCCGTGCTATTAAACATATCTATCTCCGTGGAATGAAACAGGTGGCAGTAGCAGGCACATTTACATATGACATCTGTGTAAGAATGCATGCTTTTGAAGATATTTTTGACAATACTATAACAATAAAACACAATAAAACACCAATAATTCAATAACTTCAAGATAGATAGGTTTAACGCCATACTGTGGAATATTACAGACAAACCAATAACATCTTTTTTTATTTAAAAATGTATATAGTAAAGCAGAGAGTAAAATATCAGTATATGTGTAGTTTTGTATTTGCTTTGCTGGTACTTTGCTATTATACTGTATTAGATAGTGCCTTGAAGGGCCCATATTAGGCTATTTTCTGATGTTTTCTGTGTTGTAATGTTGTTTCCTCCTCACAAACATACCTGGAGTTGTGTTTTGTTTCATTCACACATGTTTAAAACACAAACGCTGCGGAAAACAATACAAGTAATACAGCAAGTGCTCCACTGTGTTTTAAATTCCAAACACCTTCTCTAGAGTAATTTGGATATTTTCAGCACAGGAATTTCCCGTCTCTACTGAACTAAAGGTAAAAGGAGCTGTTATGGTGAAAATCATCACTACATGACATCACAGGGTGGGACAGGGTATTTTGAGATTTGGATATGACAGACTATTAACCAAACAGTGTGAATGAAACAAAACACAACTCCAGGTTTGTTTTTGAGGAGGTAAAAGCATGGCTTAATGCTCACAAGAGTCAGTTTTGCATAATATAGAACTTTTATTATATGTTGCCTGCTCTGTTCTTAAACCTAAACTAATTGTACACAGGAGCCAAAAACACAAAGAGAGAAGATCTGGAGGCCAACAGTGAAGAAAACATCAAGTACAGAAAGGAGCCATCGCCTTGTCCAATCTGTGGAAAGGTTACAACTGCACAACATAAATGAAATCTGTCACCAAGGGCATGACGTCTGAGCGATAAGTGTCTAACGCAGTATTTTGTGTACACAGGTGTTCTCCTGCAGGAGTAATATGAACAAGCACCTGCTCACTCACGGAGATAAGAAATACACCTGCGAGATCTGTGGCCGCAAGTTCTTCAGAGTGGACGTGCTTCGGGATCACATCCATGTCCACTTCAAGGTAATTAAAGGTGCACTGAGGAACTTTTGTGGTTGAGGGTCCATGCAGTGCTTGTCTCCATGGAGATGAGATTTAATACTACCATAGAGACAAGCAAGTAATGCCACCAGGCCAAGTTGCAGGTGAGATCTGTGGAGAGGTGTCCGGTATACAGGAAGAATGTATGTTATGAATGAATGAATGTATGTTTAAGGTATTTTATGTATTGAGCAATAAAAACACCTGTTGGTGAATAAAAGCAAGATGGATAAGTTTAATGCAAAACTGGAATATTTATATCTCTTTGGAGACAAATAGGTGGTGAACTCTCCACCAAAACAGTTGCATAGTGCCCCTTTAATGAACTAAAATGTTCCTGCAGCCAATTTGTGGTTTATAGGTGTAATTACAATAAAATCCCTGGAGAAATCTGTAGCATAAAAATGTGTACAGTTATTCTGGGATTTGAGGAATTTTCTGCAACATGGCATTGCACGTCAAATCATGTTCCTTTATTTATTACTTAGAAACATCCATTAATTACCTTAAGGTGTCTTTTTGCCTCTCATTTTAAACGCTAACATCATCATTCAACCATCTGGTTTACTTTATTTTTACATAGAAAAAAAAACAACATTTTATTTTTAACAATATTCAGTTCATTGTGTAGAGATAATAGATAATAGGTCAATATAAATTTTAATAAACATTATCCACTAAAATGAAAGAGATCAGGCTTATGTATCCAACGCTTTTTTTTAGGACATTGCACTTATGGATGAGCAGGAACGAGAAGACTTCATCAAGAAAATTGGGATTTCTGCAGAGGACAGTGAAGAAACAGATGAGGAAGATGAGTTAGAGGATCCTGACCGACACAAATACAACTGCAAAAAATGTCAAGTAAGAATAGATGGATCCTATATGTGTATACACCACTATTCTTTATTTGTGTTTAGGGTTGAATGATTACAAAGAAATATCAAATTGGGATTTTTGTCTTTGTTTGTAGAGGAAATTGTAGCCTTTTCCATTCAGTGTGTTCATTTAAATTTATTGAATTTGAAATGAATTTTTATTCAATTACAAGTCATCTGGCTGCCCTTATCGTGCTTTTATCAAGTAAGAATGGCCAAATTCTGCATCCCATAGGCCCTATATATACTTTATATAGTGTCTATGAATACACCACTCTACTCTATAGACTGTATATAAAATGGATATAGCTACCCGCCAAATAGGAAGTGAGCTTGGGGGCACCTCCGGCTCCATCGACATTGGCTCCAAGTAGCTTCAGATTGAAAAACTGTCACCCCTCTCTGTGTAAATGTTGCAGTGAGACTCGTCATTTTGGTCTTAAATTGTTCATATTAACCCGCTCTACATGATCCTGGGGTATTATTTTTCCTATTGTGTCAATAAATAAATTCCTATTCTTAATATTGAACTTGGCTCCAAACACATCCCATAACTGCTAGCCTTGTGAGCTTCATTTGACTGGAGCCAAACGCTAAAGGTGACGTCACACTCCTTTAGTCCACTTCTTTATACAGTCTATACTCTACTCCAATCTGTGTACAAATGTATAACACTGTGCTTTTGTCTCAGCTGTCATTTGCGAAGGGTAAAGAGTATCTAAAGCACATCATGGAGCAGCACAAAGAGCGCGGTTATGGCTGTGGGATCTGTAACAGACGCTTCGCTCTGAAGGCCACGTACAACGCACATCTGGTCATTCACAGAGAGCAGCTCCCTGACCCCGCCGTGCAAAAGTAAGATTTACTCCTAAACAGCAATAAGAACGTAAGTTTCATTGATAATTTTGGAAGTATTAAATATTTAATTCAATATCATGTGTATAATGGGTTATGTTACATTCTGTTTATTTTACACTGCAATATTGATCTAAAACAGCTTGATAATAGAAACAGGCCCACTGACTTTCCATTCAAAACTGCAGAACTGAGAGATCCAGCCCCTTCATTGTGGTATTTCACAGAGGCAAGCAAGGGATTCTCTTTAATCTTTATTTATTTTTTTGGGAAAAATTGCCGTGTGACATTTCTGAACATGCATGAATCAATTAAATATAATTATGAGCTTGTTAATGTTGAGCGAACACTGTTATAACATGGGTGAATTGCTCATTAAAGTCAATCTTACATGTCATACATATATCATATGTCCCCCTAAAACAATTTGTCTGTTAGGTACATCCACCCATGTGAGGTCTGTGGGCGCATTTTCAATAGCTATGGAAACCTGGAGAGACATAAGATCATCCACACTGGTGAGTAAACGTATGTAGTGAGAGATTAAACGGACTGAACACTGACCATGTTACAATCACAGTACTGTCCATGTGTTATTACAGGGGTCAAAAGTCACAGCTGTGATAAGTGTGGCAAATCGTTTGCCAGAAAAGACATGCTGAAGGAGCACCTGAGGGTCCATGACGACATCAGAGACTACCTATGTGCAGAGTGTGGCAAAGGTAACCTATAGATTACCTATTGTCTCATATAGACTGACTAACATTTTAGCTGATTAGTGAGCCTTTTTTTTTTTCAATTAGTCAGCTATTCAGATGAGTATGTCTGTAGATATATATATATATATTTTTTTTTAGCAAATAAAGTTTCAAATATGGAGGCTTCTAGATTGTTATGAAATGTCTTTTGCCATGTGTTTTACAGTCTATATAGTCCAGTTCAAAGCCTATTCTTGTCAGATCTCAGAAGCCAAGCAAGCTTTATTTTATGTTATGTGCTGCATATTGTTTTATTGATTGTTTTCAGGTATGAAGACTAAGCATGCTCTGAGACATCACATGAAGCTCCACAAAGGCATCAAAGAGTACGAGTGTAAAGTGTGTAACCGCAAATTTGCTCAGAAAGTCAACATGCTGAAGCACTACAAGAGGCACACAGGTGAGTCTGTCTTCTGTGTCTTTACTGTAAATACATCAAACTCCATAGACTTTGTGTAGGCCAGTTTCTGAAATCAGCGAGACGGGATATGGCTCCAGACCTGCAAGTCTTTGTAAAGTTTTGGCTGGACAGTCAACAAATTTACTGGGGCTAATTACTGAGGTCCAGCCCATACCGGGTTTGTAGGCTTTTTGAAGCTGAGGGAGTGAGAAGGACATTACAGCAGCCTTAGACACCAGAGTCAAGTGACTACACCTGATTGTTATGTTTTTTAATGTTTCATTAAGGCATAAAAGACTTTATGTGTGAACTGTGTGGGAAAACCTTTAGTGAGAGGACAACTCTGGAGACACATAAGCTCATTCATACAGGTAAGTTAAAGCTAAAAACACTGTGGTATTGTGTGCAGAGAGTTTATTTATTTGGTTATTCTTATGTAGTGGGTAAGACCTGGACATGTCCAACGTGTGACAAAAAGTATCTGACAGAGTACATGCTGCAGAAGCATGTGCACCTGACCCATGAGAAGGTGGAGGCGCAGTCATGTGACTTATGTGGGACAAAGGTGTCCACCCGTGCCTCAATGAACAGACACCTGCGCCGCAAACACCCCGAGGTGAGGCTCAGAACTGTGGTAATGTTAAAGCACTTTTAAAGACACAGAAATGACTGCTGGTGTTTTGTTCAGTTGGTCTCTATGAGAATGGATGAATTTGACGATCTGCAGGAAACTTCAACTATCAATGACTCCTCAGTCAGCATTGTACAGGTTAGAAATATTGCTACTTTAAGTTTTGTAATCAAACAAGCACATATTTTGAATATTTTCTGCTATTCATTTCTGTAGCCCACTCTTAGTCTGGAAAAGGACTCTTTGTCTCAAGCGAGACCCAGCCGACCGCCTCGTAACACCAAGAAGAAGCAAAGAGCTCAAGCAGATCCAGAACTGTCCGATCCAGATGACTTTGTGGATTTCACTCCAACAAAACAAGAGTCCATGCCTGAGTTTAGAACTGTCATTGTTGGAGAGGAGACAGAGACCAGCTCTGCAGTGCAGAGCATTCAACAGGTAGAGTAGAGTTAAAAAGGTTACTATGGTTTTAATGTACTAGATTTGTTAGTAATGAATACAAAAGTTGCTTCCTCCACATAATTTCTGAGAAGGCACTTTGTCTACAGGAGCAGTAAGTAAAATATGAACCACAGTCACTAAATAAAGCATTTTGTTTCCTCATTTTCAGGTGGTGGTCCTGGCTGATCCTAATGTGTCTGCTGCCTCGTCCTCTAACAGCTCAGTGGGTCTGACAAACATAACTGTGACTCCCATCACCAGCACCCCCCCAACTCAGTTCACCAGCCTTCAGCCTGTGGCCGTGGGTCACTTGGACAACCCCATCCTCACCGTGACCTTTGACACCGTCAGTGGCTCTGCCATGCTTCACAACCGCCCTGCAGAGCTGGTCCCAGAGACAGTGGGCCCCACAGCAGCCCCTCAGTCTGTGGCTCACTTCATTAACCTCACCACTCTGGTCAATCCTATGAGCCATCCTCTGGAGCCTCCCACTCTCACCTGGAGACCTGTCCCACCAGCAGAGGGCAGCACTGTCGGTGCAGGGGCAGAGGCTTCTGTGGAGAACCAAGACAATCAGAACCAAGACCTTGGACAATCTGGACTGAGCCAGTCTCCTGTTACACAAGCAAGTGGTTCATCTCAGCCAATGTTTAGCTACTTAAAACCTGAAGCGCTGGACGCTTCTCATCACATTACATAATTTCTGTAATACATTTGTATTCACTGTAGAGTTAAACAGAACTCACGCTGATGCCTCTCCACTGGACTTTTTAAATATTGGCACTTGCTGACAAAATGTAGCAAGATTTTTATTTTCTCACCCATCAAAACCAAAGCATTTTGATAAATTTGGGAATGCCTTCTGTCTAAGCCTTTAAACTGCATGGCTGTAATATCCATTGTTTACCCATCTGTTACTCAATCAAACCTGACACTGGTAAAATGAACTGAAACTAATTGTACTATCATGTGAAAAATTATTTTTGAATGTTGTATTTTACATTTTCTCATTCCTTTGAAACATGCTGAAAAATTTTTATACTTAAAAAGTAAATATGATTGAATTTGTTGGTGTGTTTTATATAGGCAGCATATGTACTGACTTTTTGGTTATAATTTAGTCACATTATCTCAATAGTTTAGCTTTTAAATTACAAGGGAAGAGAACCTGAGAGTAAAAAGAGTACTTGAAGTTAGATACACTAGAGGGCGTCATTGAGTGGAGTTCAGGCCATTGACTGCAAGTTCAGACTCCAGGGTCTAATATGAAAGCATTTATGTAATAAAATATTACATAGAAAACATATATATTATTGGCAGAGGTGGTAGAGTGGCCAAAAACTGTACTGGAGTTGGAAGTGCTGATTTTCAAGTAGCTATATTTGGAAAATATAGTGGACAAATATTAGAAAAAGTTCCTTGGAGATGTACTATGTAACTTTTAGGCTGAGATAGCTCAAAAACAGACCTTCTGGCTGTGAGTGGGGTTGCCACTGTCTTGGTCTGGTTAGAAAAGTTTAATGTCACACTGTGAAAAGCATTTGATGGACGCTCTAGGAATGTTATACAATGCACTTGTGTAGTGTAGTAGAGTAGTAGAGTTGAGTAGTATTCAAAATATGAATAAAGTAGGAGTAAGAGTATACAGCATGAAAAAGTTAAGAACAGTTTCTTTTAAAGTTACTCATGTAAATGTAATTGAGTTACATTCAGCGCTGGCACATGAAAACAGAAGACCAAACTTGACTACTAACCAAAGCTGTATTTATTGTTATAGCTGGTGTTTCCAACATCACATTAACACTTAAGTCAGACCTATATTATTATGTTAAAAGGCTCATTCACACTTCCTCCTAGTTTCACCTTGCAAGTCACCTGCATATGTTAATGGTTGTGTTTTCGATCTGCAAAGTGGTCACTGAGAGAGGGGGGTGTCAATCAGTGACCAGACCCACCCAGCAAAGTTGAGCAGTGGTGAGTTACATTTACTTTTTGCGAAAAAGGGGAAATAAAAAAGATAAATATTTAAAATATATATTATTATTAGATTAATCATAGTTGTACTATATAACTTTATTGGGGATTAGGACTACCACCTGTCTGTCTCCATGGGAATGTTATAATATGGCATTAAACTGTATTTTGCATTTATTCAATCACAAAGCCTTTGTTGCCAAAAAATTGCAATACATAATACATTACAAACATACATTCTTTTTTTATTTATTTATTTATTTATTTACTTTTTATTGTGAGTGGTTTACACTCTCCATAGATAACTTGTTTTTATGACGTATACCTGCTTGTCTCTAAGGATATGGAGAATAATTTTATATACACTTAACCTTGTTAAGCTATTATTTACTTAAATTTTGTGGTGTAGTCTTCAAAATTGTACTTGGTGTAGCTGTTTGGACGATTTCTACTTGAAAATATATGTATTTATTTATTTAAATCTATTCAAACTTGGTTATAATTTTTCATTTTACAAACTGTTAACAATATCATAAACAAGCACACTGGACAACATGACAATATGAAACTGCCATAAGTTTGTGAAAATTGATTTCAAGATTATAAACAATACAGACTTTTACTCGTTGCCATTTACACAACAGCAGTTAATTTTTCTTCCTTCAAAGAATCATTGACAAACAGGACTGAATCTCAGTCTTGATTACAATTCAATTATCAATTAATTGCCCGGTGTGGTGTAAATGTACAGAAATGGTTAAGTCTTTATCTTGTGACAGGTGTTTAAGAGACCGGTTCTGTGTCTGCAGTTATTACAGAAACAGAATCCATCCTTCTCATTTGTGTTGAAAAGATAAATCCACACATTCCCAGACCTAGCTGCTATCACATATCACTCCTATTGTTAACGTATATTCCCTCTTCTGACCTAAGGGAATGCTGGCTGGATAATGACACAATGGACAAAAGCTCTGTTTATGAAAAAAACACATTCCTGAACATTTGGACTCGGGCAAATTGCAAATATTATTTTCGCCTTTTCTTAAGTGAAACTTGATGATGTGCAGACTGCAGGGGGTCTGGTTAACAATAGTGTGAAGAAGGCATACAGTGACAGCTACATGCCTTGTGGACTCTCATGTTTTTCCACACTGTTTTCATATATGGGAAGTGACGTCACGCACCGGCCCCGCCCCTTTTTACCTGGAGAGAGGGAGGGGCCACGTGAGTCAGGCAAGAGGAAAAACAAGGAAGAAGAAGAGCTCATAAGCGGCAGGTTTGTGCTTGACTTCACACCTACATATTTCCAATTGGCGTCAAAGGGAAGACATAACGAACTACTGAAACATTTCGAGCCTAAATATGGATGTTGCAGAGTCTCCCCATGGGAATATGGGGCTTTTAAGGACCTTTGGTTCGTCCGAGTTTGGGTGCTGGGAGAAGATAGGGTCCGGTGGCTTTGGACAAGTATACAAAGTGCGGCACATCCAGTGGAAAACATGGCTGGCTATAAAGTGCCCCCCCTGCCTTCATGTGGATGACAAGTAAGTCCCAGATGTTTTCATGTTATTAGACAAATGTTATTTGTCTAATCCATAAGGAATATTAGGATACATGGATAAAGTAGTAGTACAATATACGATCAAAGAGCAAATCATTGTAATCATCTGAACTAAATAATAGTAGCAAAAAGTTGTCAGATACCTATACTGATGTTGTATACTAAATAAAAAAGTAACTTCTCAACTGCTTTATAATTATTTTAGATTAGATTATAGTTGTTTGAATTTACGCATCAGTTTATCTGGATTGTGATTAAATTTAACTATAAAAATCAGATTAAGAACTTCTGTAATGTTATAAAGTCCCCCTCTTATAGATTTTCTGGTATGATTTACACCCAGAACTTGATTCATTATCATTGTGTCCTCAGGCTAAATGAGGCCCACACTGCCTAGAGCCAAAGCAGTTTACATATGTAACAAGAACAGTAAAAGTTCAACCCTGATTGCTCTAATCAATGCTGACACTGGCTTTTCAACAAAATTCTTTGGACTAATATGTAAAAAGAACAAGTGACTTTTATCAAACTTGTGTTCAGCCTGAATCAAAAGGAACAGTGTATATGACCTAGATTAATTTTATGATCATTGCGATGTACATAATACCATGTACAGATTTTATAGTTGCGTAAGTGCTGTAATGGCTTCATGTACTGTTCTTGAATAACAGCATGACTAATGG